GACTTCTGAAGCCTATGAAGTCTGTCTGAAACATGTTCCTTTAAGGAAAGCCAGACAGAGGTCCAACATAGAAAAAGAAAGCAGACGACACTACAAAAGAAGAAAGAAAATTAACGGAAATGCTTAAACAGACACGACTCTCCATACAAAGAAGGAATAATTAAAACGTGGAGATTGAAGAAATTGAACAGAGACTGAAGCATTCACATCAGATTGAAGAAAGGCAACTAGAACAGAAAGCAGTTCAAGAAATAAAGAAAAACCCAAAATATTTCTTCACATATGCTAAATCAAAAGCAAAAATCACTGCCAGTATTGGACCTATTCGTACTAGTGCAGGTTCATATTTTGAGGATGACAAAGAAATTAGTGAAATCCTTAAAAAGCAGTATGAGGACATGTTTAGCACTCCGATAAACAATATGAAAGTGGAAGAACCGGACAACTTCTTTATGCGTGGTATCCAAACCCCTGTAAATATAACTGATATTAACACACGAACATGACAGATTTTGAAAGAGAAATTGACAACATGCCCATGCACTCAGCCCCGGGTCCAGACTCGTGGAATTCAATATTTATAAAGGAATGCAAAGTGCCAGTAGCACAGGCACTCAGTATAGTGTGGAGGAAGAGCTTGGACACGGGATACCAGATGCGCTTAAAGCAGCAGACATAGCCCCTCTATACAAGGGAGGGAGCAAAGCATTGGCAAAGAATTATAGACCAGTTGCACACACGTCCCCAACCCGTTCTCGCAAATTCGTAAAGTCAATATTGACTTATTAACTACGTGCATAGGTGATATACTAAACATAATAGATACCCTTAAAAAGATTCATAGAAAACACCGACCTTACCTAACCTTGTTAGTATCTTAAGATAAGCATCTTATTGCTTCGTAATTACAATTATTACTTAACCTATACCTATTATAGGTTAGGTAATAATTGTAATTACGAAGCAATAAGATGCTTATCTTAAGATACTAACAAAGTTAGGTAAGGTCGGTGTTTTCTATGAATCTTTTTAAGGGTATCTATTATGTTAAGTATGTCACCTATGCACATATTTAATAAGTCAATATTGACTTATTAAATTTGCGAGAACGGGTTGCACGTCCCACATAAAAAAAGTATTTGAGAGTGATCAAGAGTCAGGTCACTAGTTTCATGGAGACCAATGACCTCCACAATCCAGGCCGACATGGATTTAGAGCAGATCATGCCTCTCACAGCTACTTGACCATTACGACAAAATCACTGAGGCATTAGAAGAAAAACAGAATGCAGATGTAGTATAAACGGATTTCGCAAAGGCATTCGATAAATGTGACCAAAATGAGGCCAGTGGGAATAACTGGTAAAGTAGGATGCTGGATACTCAATTTTCTATTGAACAGAACACAAAGAGTAACAGTCGACCGTATAAAATTGAGTCCAAGCACAGTTAAAAACTCAGTACCTCAAGGTACAGTCCTTACACCACTGCTTTTTCCTTATTCTCATATCAGATATAGACTCAAATACAAGGCACAGCTTCGTGTCATCTTTTGCAGATGACACAAAAATCAGCATGAAAATTGCCTCTGCTGAAGACATTGAAAAACTACAAACAGATATTAATAAAGTTTTCGACTGGGCACCAGAAAACAATATGATGTTTAACAGCAATAAATTCCAGGTACTGTTTCATTACACACAGAAATCACAATAGCCTGATGCATCAAATGAACAAATCCACAAGGGCCGTGATGAGGATTCGAACCGAAGTCCTCGCCACGACCCTTGTGGATTTGTCCAGGTACTGTACTCAGATACGGTTAAAAATGAGAACCTTAAACAGGGTACAAAACGCAATCAAATCTGCCCATAGTAGGAAAGCAACATGTCAAGGATTTGGGAATAATGATGTCTGATGACCTAACATTTAGGGAGCATAACCAAGCAAATATTGCGTCAGCCAGAAAAATGAAAGGATGGATTACGAGAACTTTCAAATCCAGGGCTCCCATTACAATGGTTGTACTTTTCAAATCACTTGTGCTGTCCTGTCTTGAATACTGCTCAGTACTCATTTCCCCATTCAGAGCTGGAGAGATTGCTGAAATAGAGGGAGTACAGAGAACATATACGGGATACATAAACGAGATAAAGCATCTAAATTATTGGGATCGTCTCGAAGTCTCCAAATGTACTCACTAGAAAGGAGACGAGAGAGATATCAAATAATATACACATGGAAAATACTGGAGGGCCAGGTCCCAAATCTGGACAGTAAAATAACAGCATACTGGAGTGAACGATATGGAAGAAAATGTAGAATAGAACCAGTGAAGAGCAGAGGTGCCATAGGCACAGAGAACACTGTATAAACATCAGAGGTTCGCGGTTGTTCAACATCCTCCCAGCGAGCATAAAAAATATTGCCGGAACAACCGTGGACATCTTCAAGAGGAAACTAGATAGTTTCCTCCAAGGAGTGCCGGACCAACCGGGTTGTGATGGGTATGTGGGCCTGCGGGCCGCTCCAAGCATCAGCCTGGTGGACCAAACTCTCACAAGTCAAGCCTGGTCCCGGGCCGGGCTTGGGGAGTAGAAGAACTCCCAGAACCTCATCAAGCAGGTATGAAGCAGACAAATCCACTTGACACGACAAAATTCCTACAATACATCACTCACATTGCTGAATCTAGCCACAACACTACTATTATTATGAGATTCCTGTCACTAAATCATGAATATGAATAATTATCCTCAAGTACATTTTCCAAACAAACATGAGAACCGGTTTCATGATGTGTAGATGCACGAAACCGTGGCTGTGTGCTGGGAATGTCTGCCTCCCACTGTGAACATCATAACCAGCATTGTATTCACTGATGTCTGAAACATGTATATAGTCTTTATCACAGTCAGGATCTTCTATGACACTATCATTGCAAAATAATTGCAGTCATTTATATATTTTTTTTATTATTAATTGAAGCACGAAGGCACGTGCTGCACGGTGGTGCTGTGAGCTGCTGCACTACCCGTGAGTAACGGGGGGGTGGGGGGAAATAGCTCTCTAGTCCATTATCCCACCCCTAGTTAACTATTCTAATGGGGGATTGGGGGAAATAGCTCTCTTTTGTCCATTATCCCTCCTCGCAGTTAGCTATTCTACAGCGGCCCATCCCCCCCCCAGAGTCTCTACTGCAGCCTGTCTAATTCAACACCTTGTGACCTAGGTATTTGATTACCTAGGTATCACGAACACAGGGCCTTGTAACCTGATCAGCTACCCGCGACTCAAGAGAATTCTAGAACAATTCACTGCCACGAACGAATCAGAGAAAGGAAAGGAAAGTGATGAATAATGCAGTAATTGGTGAGGGTTTGGGGTGGGGGCGGTAGGGAGGAGGGAGGAGTGGGTGGGAGGAGTAAGGAGGGTCGTCAGGTGAAAGGGACAGAAGGGGAGGGAGAGGAGAGGGAGAAGGAGGTGAGTAGGAGAGGTAGTGGTAGATGTAGAGGTAGAAGGGTAGATAAGTAGAAGTAGAGAGTAGAAGTAGAAAGGCTGCCACCATCTATTCAAGACCATTACATACCAGACAAGGAATGAAACTTGTTGATATCACAAAATTCTCAAAGATGTATCAACAGGTCATTATTAGCATGATTTAACTGGAATCATGTTTCAGGCAAGGTTCTTTTAGTCACTAACTCGAGTTTGCCATATATCAGAAATTCCAAGAACTCTGGAACACAAAATCAAATTAAAAGTAAGTGAATCAATTATTTATTTAGCATGAAAAATATCAGAATTCAAGCAATCGAACTGAAGGTTCATTATTAATGTACAAAGTGAGTCATTACACCAGAATTCGAGACCACTACAGCTGTCTGCCCCTGATAGTCACACAAAACTAGTAAACACGACTAAGTCACCTTTTATGTTCAACTCACCAAGTGTCTGCCTATAGTTGGATTGAGAAGGGGGGAAGGGAGGGTCTGCAGTTGACAGAGACTGTCCAGCCCTGTCCAGCTGACAGCCTCGCTGGCTATGCTGTCCTTTTCTCTGCTCTGCTGGCTGTTCTCCTGTCTTCTCTCTGTCTGTGTACAGTACCCTGGGTATATATTGGGGACCAACTAGCTAACTCCGCCCATAAGTAGATAGCCCCAGGCACTCTACCAAGCCACACCTTAAATTGGCGGCATGTTTGAAGGTCATCCCCGGGTAGCCGCCTGCAATTATGAGCTTACACTATATTACACTATATATACATGTTGTTTATAACTATCTACACTATTGTGCTCCATAAAAGAATCTAAGGTCAGCCTTGTGGCCGAGAGCTGAGAATGGCAGGTGCTGCCCCAAATACATTTTTACATAATTATTTTAGTGTCTGTGAATGGTTTTATATCTAGTTTTTTGCAGTAATGTTATTCAATTATGTGTAATATATAGAATGTATATAGTTAAATTTGTGAAACTTCGCTGTTCTAAAAAATATGAAGCTTATATATGGTGACATATTAGATCAACCAAACAGTGTTCCTGTTGTTATTGCACTATAAAAAAATAAGGGTTTTTCTTTATCCAAATTTGAGGAAAATCAGTATCAAAGTTCAATTTATAGGAAAATATGTTAATCCTAAGAAAGAGAAAGATTTAAAATATTTTGTTCTACTGTATATATATTCGATATTTAAAATTATTTGGAAAGAAGAAACTCACAAATTTATGTATTTTTCACAATTTTTGGAAATGCTCACTCTTAGTGTTAAGAATATATTATAAAGTACAGTAATATTACTTGTATCAGGTAACTGTAAGATTTGTATATTATAGAATACAGGACTGTATTTCATGATAGTGTGGTGTTTACATTATTAGACACGCCCATCATAGGGCACCAGGGAGTCCTTCCTTGACTGACTGTGATTTAAAATGATCATGTCTATTTCATATGTTTAACTTTTATTGCGTATAAATTACTTACAATGTTCACACATCAGACCAGCAGGAGCAGCAGTGAGCAAGGCATCGGGATCAGTTGGACGACTGCCACACCCCACGGCAGTCAGACCCTTAGGCCCCTTGAAGATGAACACTTCTCGCCCTTCTGACCAAATGACAGGTATGGGATGTTTACACACTTTATTATAGCAGAAGGATGGGAGGGTGCTGTAAGTAGAGAGGGAGGGAGGGTGCTGTAAGTAGAGAGGGAGGGAGGAAGCTATAAGTAGAGAGGGAGGGAGGGTGCTGTAAGTAGAGAGGGAGGGAGGGTGCTGTAAGTAGAGAGGGAGGGAGGGTGCTATAAGTAGAGAGGGAGGGAGGGTGCTGTAAGTAGAGAGGGAGGGAGGGTGCTGTAAGTAGAGAGGGAGGGAGGGTGCTGTAAGTGGAGAGGGAGGGAGGGTGCTATAAGTAGAGAGGGAGGGAGGGTGCTGTAAGTAGAGAGGGAGGGAGGGTGCTATAAGTAGAGAGGGAGGGAGGGTGCTATAAGTAGAGAGGGAGGGAGGGTGCTGTAAGTAGAGAGGGAGGGAGGGTGCTGTAAGTAGAGAGGGAGGGAGGAAGCTATAAGTAGAGAGGGAGGGAGGGTGCTGTAAGTAGAGAGGGAGGGAGGGTGCTGTAAGTAGAGAGGGAGGGAGGGTGCTATAAGTAGAGAGGGAGGGAGGGTGCTGTAAGTAGAGAGGGAGGGAGGGTGCTATAAGTAGAGAGGGAGGGAGGGTGCTGTAAGTAGAGAGGGAGGGAGGGTGCTATAAGTAGAGAGGGAGGGAGGGTGCTGTAAGTAGAGAGGGAGGGAGGGTGCTGTAAGTAGAGAGGGAGGGAGGGTGCTGTAAGTGGAGAGGGAGGGAGGAAGTAATAAGTAAATAAGTGTAGAGAGAGGGAGAGATGAAGCTATAAGTAGAGAGGGAGGGAGGATGCTGTAAGTAGAGGGGGCGAGCAGCACTAATGAGCAGGGAGCTTGTTGGACGAAGTTTTTCTTCTTTGTTTTCTTTAGAAGGGGGGGGGGGTTCTTATGTTTTTGAGGATGTAGTTCACAACGTTCAACAAGGTAGTGGTCTGTTTTTATTCGCTTACCTTTCTGGGTGCCTTCCCTAGTCTATGGTATGACATACTTTAAATGTAAAGTGTTCAGGAGCCATTGCTCCCTGCGCCTCCTTGAGGGGGCTAGGTTCTGGCTCTCGGTCCCCGGTAGGCAACTAGACCTCTACAACTAATGACCCAACTAATATAGCACTATATCAGTGTGATAGTTTTAGGGAGCTGGTCAGCTGAGCGGACAGCACGCTGGACTTGTAATCCTTTGGTCCGGGGTTCGATCCCGGGCGCCGGTGAGAAACAATGGGCAGACTTTCTTTCACCCTATGCCCCTGTTACCTAGCAGTAAAATAGGTACCTGGGTGTTAGTCAGCTGTCACGGGCTGCTTCCTGGGGGTGGAGGCCTGGTCGAGGACCAGGCCGCGGGAACACTAAAAGCTCCAAAATCATCTCAAGATAACCTCAAGATAGCCTCCGGGGCTCACCCAGAAACTGACATTTTATTACATTCCATGCTGGTGCCTGGCACAATGGTGCCTGGGCCTGGTGCAGAGTGCATGGGCATGCTGCCTATAGCTACTTCAAAGTCAAGTGGGGCTAGGGTAACATCTGATATATATGGCTTGGTGGTGGTGTTGCCTTAATAAAAAGTTTGTTTGGTTCATTGGTCTGTAATGTGTTCAGGGTTCACTGAAAACAGAATCACACTGTAACCTCAGTTTTCACTCATTTCTTTGCTGTTATCTGTGAAGATTCCATCACTCTTGTGCAAGGTTCCAATGCAAGATGTAATTTTTGTTCTAGATTTTTCATAGGAGAAAAAGTATTTAGGATTCCTCTCTCTCTTTCACTTTTGTCCTTTTGCTCTCAGTCTCTCCTGGATTTTATATGATTCTTGCAACCTTAGCTCAATTGTTTTTATTTCTTTACTTAGCCTTCTTTGTTATTCATGGTTAAAATTTAAATCTTGACAGTTATATTCACTCGTTAAATTAAATGGATACTGTACGGTAGTTTGTTGAATCGATGTTGCATTATATACAGTGGCACCTCGATTAACGAGTTTAATCCGTTGTGGCACCGAGCTCGTTATGTGGAAAACTCGTCTTAAGAAACAAATTTCCCCATTTAAAATAAAGGAAATAAATTTAATCTGTTCCACTCCCAAAAACATCCATACTTGTATGACATTTTATAATGTAAATATAATACTGCACATGTAATTATAAATGTTTTGTTGTACGGTTTTCATGTTTACTTTACCTTATGAAGAGTAGTTGCTGGCTTGAGGGAGACGATGGGGAGGTGGGAAGGAGGAGAGGGGTTATGGTGGAAGGAGAATCCACCTCTGCGTCAGGCGGACTCTCTCTTCTTGGGAATTTCAACCCACTGGGACCGGGTTGTGGTTCACTATCACTGGCTCTTCTTTTCTCTACTTTTGCAAAGAACGTATCTATTGACAATTGCTTTTGTCTTTGTTTTAGGATATCCCTAAAACAAGACAACAAATTGTCATTAAACATCTTCACACATCGAGTTGTCACTGCTTTATCAGGGTGATGCTTTTCCAAGAATGCGGTCACCTTTTCAAACATTCCCAAGACTTCCCTGATCTCAGTGAAAGAGGCAGCATCCTCCCTTACCTCCTCCTCCCCTTACTAATGGTGCAAATTGTTGATGAGGATCTGCCACACTCCCTTGTGAAATCAGTCACACGGACACCACGCTCATGCTTTGCTATAATTTCCTTCTTCAAATCCACAGTAATTGTGTCTTTCTTCCTTTTGACAACATTATCTTTAGCAAGCAGCTTCTTTGGCCACATTGTGCATTACAAATTGTAGTCACAAAACCACAAAAACCCCAAAAAAAGCGCAAATAAATGCAGAGGGATGCTTGTCGTGCATGATACAACAACAACACTGGCGTCGGAGGCGTCCGAAAATTTGCAAGAACCTGCGAGATGCTAGGAAGCACCATGTGGTTTTGTGCGTTAATAGAGGTGAAGCTCGTCAATAGAGACAAATTTGCTGCGAGTGGCTCGTTCGTTACTCGAAATGCTCGTAGATAGAGCTGCTCGTTAATCAAGGTACCACTGTAGTTTATTGAATCAAAGTTGCACTATATATTATTATAATTGGTATAGAAACATTATCCTAATTTGATAGTAATGTACTGATTCATAGTTTTGCGAATTTTGCGCTCGTAAATCAAGTTATTCAAAACTCATAGTATAGTAAATACATTAAAACAAGTGATAAATGATCCAAGAAACATCCATGTTGAACACTGGATTCGTGTGTCACATACTGTATTGTCAGCAAAGTTGACATCAGGTGTTGTCAGATGCTGGACCAGATCACCAACATGCCAACGTTCACACCTCGTCCAACCAGTAGAAAGTGTTGTATCAATTTTTCTGTGAGGAGTCCTGTTGGCTCCCTAAAGCTATCCAATTTGATATGTGCAATATTAGTTTGGGGACATCAGTCACAGGAGTCCTTATGCCTACCTGGTAACCATGAACCAGAACCTGGCCCCCCTCTCAGAGAGGCGCAGAGAACAATGGCCTATGAGCACTGCACATTTAAAGTATGTCATAATTGCCATCGACCAGGGAAGGACCCAGAACGGTAGGCAAATCAAAACAAACCACAGTCAGATAAAAATTGTGACCTATGTCCAAACATAGTAAAAGAAAGAAAACCAGAAAGAAAACAAACAAGCAACACTTCATCCAACTAGCACTCTGCTCATTAGTTCTACCACCCCAAAGGGGGACTGAGGGAGGGGGGGGGAGAGCCGGCTCAAGTGAGCTGGCACCCCAGTTCTTGAACTGCTTGTGGTCGGATCAGTCACCTCTGGCCTCATATTCTTGTTCTGGGTTTTGCCCTGTGTGGCTGTACCAGCAGTGTTTGTGGTGTGGTCGCTAGGTGTCTTCTTGTACAAGGAGCAGTCTGCGGCAAGGACTGTCTTCCCTAGGTGCTTCGTAAGTACTACCCTTGCATTTCAGGGTTATCTTCCCTGGGGGATTCGGAACTCAGTTCCCATTAGAGGACTTTCTCGCTTGAGGTTGTCTTTGCCCTTGGGTTACATTGGGCTCTGGCTCTGAAAGTCTTGGACTTTCTGTCTTGCCCCAGGTGGGGGAGTGTTTTTGACTGGAAGAGGCAGTGCTGCCCCACTTTGTGGCTGGCGCAGCCTGCTTTACTTCAACGCAACGGCCAATGCTTCTTTCTGACTGTCAGTTTGTTGTGTGTCTTTGGGGGCTTTTAGTTTCCTTTTCAGGTGTTTTATATTTTGTGAATGGAGGAAGTCTGCCCAGCTAGCTTCTAATTAGGCTACCTAAGTGGTGTTGATGGTCCTCCTCTGTTGCCCCCGAGGTCTCCTGCTACTAGTGGTCAGTTGGCCTGCTATCAGACGGGGGTTTTACCGGCTTAGCCGGCCCCAGTGCCTGGGCTTTCCTTAGGGCTGATTGACCCTGCGGGGCCCTGGAAAACCCTGTGGGCTCAGTCGTTCCGTGGATACTTCTTCTGAGTCCACTTTTGCCCTGTGTGAAGTCGTAAGTTGTTCGTCACTCCTGCCTCATGGAGACGATCATCCATACTGCCTCTGTCTTGCTGCCTGTTGGATTGGGGATATCTACAACCTGGAATCTTATGGGACTTGTTCCCTGCTTGTGCTTTACTTTATTTATCACTTATCTAATGATCTTAGGGATCAGGCAGCAGCCACACTGCATACTTGATTCTCTTTTTGCAACAGGCCTGGTTGCCCAGTTGGATGCCCCAGAGCTGTCCCACTTGGGTTTTAGGGACAGGGATTTGGGAGTGTTGGTCGCTTCGGCCTTAGTTCCATCCACGCCCCTGCTTCTTTCCCAGATGGGTGTGGTTCACCCTGCTCCTTTCCACCTGCTTCCGGCTCCCAAACGTCTAAGGGTTTCGGAGTCGAGGCAGGGTTTAGCTTGGGAGGCTTCGGGGGCTGCACCTTCTGATTTGGGCGTAGAGGTGGTTGAGCCCGTTTTCCCACTGGGGCTTCTCGGTCAACCTAGCAGATGCCCTTCTTGGAAGCCTTTCCCCTGGATTCTGCCTTTCCTTCAGGGGTGGAGGGTGTGGATGAAGGCTCTGCGGCAGGGCCTTTGTCAGAGTGTTCCCAGGGCTCAGGAGGATTCCACTTGGAGCTCTTGCTCCTGCTCCTTCTGGGCAGGGGTTTGTTGCTGCAGAGGAGCAGCAACTCCTCCAAACATTTTTGTCCCCTCCGTCCCGTCTGCATTCATTTTAACATATTTGCCAGTGTGATTTATGCACCCTTGTCGGACACATCAGTCTTTTTGCTTGGATGTTTAGTACTGAGAGAAAACTATTTGCTTGTGTTTCATCATACTTTATTGCACGTTATTTAATTGTGGTTTTGGTACCCCTGCTCTTACCTCCTCTCAGATCAGTGGTTTCGTTGTTTTATTTGTGGCAGGTGTTTTAGCTATACAGTTTGTGAATCTTTTCTGGGTAATGTTTTATGTTGCTGTGACTGGCCACCAGGGCGGTGCTTTGGTTGTGACGCGCCATCCAACAGCTGTGGCTTGTCATCTGCTCCTTGCAAATGGCTGCTGGGCGATTGAAAGTTTATCATTCCTTTCCCAATTTTTGGGTCAATTTTCATTTCGTTTATGGGCCCATTGATCTTACCTGTAACTTCAACGTTTCCCAACGTATGACATGCCTCAGGTGTGGGCTATGTCTGCTATGAAATGGGTGGGGTGGTGTGTGCATTAGTGTGTTCTTCCCTCATCACTGCTGTTGTCATCAGTAGTTTTGGTAAGTTTATACTCATATCGTTGTGCTTGCGGGGGTTGCACTTTAACTCTTCAGACCCACCTCTTGTCCGTCGTTCTACTGGTAATTACCTAAGTGTAATTACCTAAGTGTAGTTACAGGATGAGAGCTACGCTCGTGGTGTCCCGTCTTCCCAGCACTCTTTGTCATATAACGCTTTGAAACTACTGACGGTCTTGGCCTCCACCACCTTCTCACTTAACTTGTTCCAACCGTCTACCACTCTATTTGCAAAGGTGAATTTTCTTATATTTCTTCGGCATCTGTGTTTAGCTAGTTTAAATCTATGACCTCTTGTTCTTGAAGTGCCAGGTCTCAGGAAATCTTCCCTGTCGATTTTATCAATTCCTGTTACTATTTTGTATGTAGTGATCATATCACCTCTTTTTCTTCTGTCTTCTAGTTTTGGCATGTTTAATGCTTCTAACCTCTCCTCGTAGCTCTTACCCTTCAGTTCTGGGAGCCACTTAGTAGCATGTCTTTGCACCTTTTCCAGTTTGTTGATGTGCTTCTTAAGATATGGGCACCACACAACAGCTGCATATTCTAGCTTTGGCCTAACAAAAGTCATGAACAATTTCTTTAGTATATCGCCATCCATGTATTTAAATGCAATTCTGAAGTTAGAAAGCATAGCATAGGCTCCTTGCACAATATTCTTTATGTGGTCCTCAGGTGATAGTTTTCTATCTAGAACCACCCCCTAGATCTCTTTCTTTATCAGAATTCTTTAAAGATTTCTCACATAATATATAGGTTGTGTGGGGTCTATGTTCTCCTATTCCACATTCCATAACATGACATTTATTAACATTAAATTCCATTTGCCAAGTGGTGCTCCATCTACTTATTTTGTCCAGGTCTTCTTGAAGGGCATGACAATCATCTAAATTTCTTATCCTTCCTATTATCTTAGCATCATCAGCAAACATGTTCATATAATTCTGTATACCAACTGGTAGATCATTTATGTACACAATAAACATCACTGGTGCAAGAACTGAACCCTGTGGTACTCCACTTGTGACATTTCTCCATTTCGATACATTGCCTCTGATTACTGCCCTCATTTTTCTATCAGTCAGAAAATTTTTCATCCATGATAGAAGCTTACCTGTCACCCCTCCAATATTTTCCAGTTTCCAGAACAACCTCTTATGTGGAACTCTGTCGAAAGCCTTTTTTAGGGCCAGATAGATGCAGTCAACCCAACCATCTCTTTCCTGTAATATCTCTGTGGCTCGATCATAGAAACTGAGTAAATTCGATACACAGGATCTTCCAGATCGAAAACCATACTGTCTGTCTGATATTATATCATTTCTCTCTAGGTGTTCTACCCATTTAGTTTTGATTAGTTTTTCCAATACTTTCACTATTACACTTGTCAATGATACAGGTCTATAATTGAGGGGGTCTTCCCTGCTGCCACTTTTGTAGATTGGAACTATGTTAGCCTGTTTCCACACGTCTGCTACGATTCCTGTAGTGTACACATTCCTGAGCTTCTCGGGCTCTTTTATCTCTAAGTTTGATCTTGAGTATGGTGTCAACCTGCACTACTTCCCTGCCTCCTGCATTCCATTTCCTTACTACTCTGCCACTGGACAAGATCATTCTAATGACTGATGCTCCTTTTGGGTACTCGGCTTCCACCTGTGTCCCCTTATGTGTGTACCATCCATGTTGCTTCATACGTCTTTTTCTACCCTATCCGTTGCCTTGCGGAAGGGTGAGTGGTGGTTATGTCTCCCGGTCTTGTGCTCCCCGGGCAGCCTTGTCTTGGGTATGAGACTGTGGTTCTTTTGTGTAGTAATCCCTCAGTCTTGTGTTCACTATCTGTGGTTATTTGACTTATTTTCACTAGTTTCTTCTTGGCACCGTTTTGTGCCTAGCGACCTTGCGCTGTGTACTCATCTGGCTCCTTAGTCTACGTTGCTCGGTATCCCATCCATATTACGGCTACTTTAGACATGGGAAATTTTTTTATTCTCCAAAAATAAACAAAAATAATTAACAACGTTAACAATGTGCATCTTATCTGCTGGCAAATGCAATAGGTAGGTAGGGCTCCCCTCCAGGTTCATTTCCGTGTGACTTAGGGTTCCTCGGATTTGTCTTTTCAGAGATTTTTCTTCTTCTCAGCTTACCCCTGCTGAGGTTCAGGGCCCTTGGTGCGTACCTCCTCCAATCCCTGGTTAACGCCTCTGTGATGAATCCGGTTTTGTTTGAGTTTTGTTCCTCTTACACTGATTGGGTGCATTCTGAGGTACCAGTGTCTTCCTGGCTGTTATCCTACCTCGACGACTGGTTGGTGTGGGTTTCCTGCCGGTCAGGGTTCTGGTTCTGGTTCTGGTTCTTTCCTGGCTTGCCAGGTTCAGGTTCCTCGTAACTTGGTGGAAGTCCCAGTTGGTCCTCTCCCGGGTTCAAACTTGGCTGGGCCTAGTGTGGGTTTCTTGAACTGCGTCCATTTCTCTCCCTCCTCCGGCTTTGCTAAGATTGCAGTTCTGCCTTCAGCTATTTTGAGGGGGGGGGGGGCCTGGGTCACTTGGCAGTTGCTTGAGCAGCTGTGCAGGAATCTGAACTTTGCCCTGTTGGTTTATCCACTAGGCATGGGTTGGTTTGTAGGCTGTTCTGGTATCTTCAGAACGGACTCTTTTGCTACTCTCATGATCGATGGGTTTGTTCCCTGGTGTCCTTGCATCAGTTGCTGCATCTCTGGCTTCCTCTTCAGGGTTTTTGGGGTTCGGTGCCATGGCGCCTTCCTTTTCTCTAGCTCGAAGTGTTCACAAATGCCTGCCTCGTCTCTCAGTTAGGGCTTTGTGACCAGTGCTCACCAGTCAAGCCAGGGGTTTTGGGGGCTATCCTTACGTTGGTCTCACATTACAGTGCGAGAGTTTGCGACGGTGTGACAGGTGCTGCATTGGATTCGGCTTCCTCGGGGCTTGGTTATCTGGCTCCATTCGGACTGCTCCCCCCATGGTAAATTGTCTCGACCTTTTATTTTTGGTCCATGGCTCTTTGTGGCTGGTCACTTAGGGTAGCTCTTTTGCTGAGTTCTCGGGGTTTAGCTATCCATGGCATTCACGTTCAGGGAGTGTCCTGGCTGCCAGATATCTCGTGAACATCCAGGGCCCCCTCTGGCTTTGTGTTGCATTGGGGAGACTGTTCCGGCTGTCAGTCTCTTCTTCGACTTGAGATCTGCATTGCTGCTGCCTCCCGGGTTAGTCCCTGTTTTTTACTTGCCCTCCCTCCCTCCCGTCGGCAGCCTTCATCATACAAGGACTGGAGTGGTGGGCTGTTGGCTCACCAGAGTTGGCTGCCCCTCTTCATCTTTGGGGTGGGGTTGCCCTAACAAGCAGGGCTGCTAGTTTAATGAAGTGTTTTTGTTGGTTTTCTTTCTGGGGGAGTTCTTTTGCTATGTTTGGACATAGGTTGTAATTTTGATTAGATTGTGGTCTGTTTTGTTTCGCCTACCTTTCTGGGGGCTCTCCCTAGTCCATGGCAATTATGACATAGTACTGTACTATAAATGTACAGTGCTCATAGGCCATTGTTCCCTGCTATGGCCTATGAGCACTGTGCTCATAGATGAACACTGCGCCTCTCTGAGGGGGCCAGGTTCTGGTTCGTGGTTCCTGGTAGGCATAAGGATTCCTGTGACTGATGACCCCAAACTAATATAACACACAACGGTTTAGATAACTTCAGGAAACTTCCGGGGCTCGCCCCAAAAATGTTGTTTCATTACATTCAACGCTGGCTTTTTCCAGTTTTTCTTCCATTTTGCTTTCTGATTAATAATTCTATGAAAAAATATATTTTGGAAACGTTATGAATTTGTTGTTCATAAGGAGATACTGTATAGCCATATTCCAATAGCCATATGTCCGAGGGGCAATGTAGCAACTTTCCCATATACTTTAAACAGTAGTATTTGATAATACAATATATACAAGAAAGATGGAAAAGAGTCAGCATGGCTCTCTACTTGTAACTACATGCAGTATAGCTAATATTACACGTAGTGTATATATGCACACAATTTTATACATGTGCAAAATAATTGACTCACACTTGCTGCTATTGATAACCGAGCATTTTAGACCAACAGGATTCACAGAAGTCCAGTAAACCTCTGGGAGCACAGAGAAGTAGTGTGAGTAGAGGAGTCTTACGAAGTGGTTCACGTGGTGTATCCAGAGCTTCATCATCAGCGATGAGTCGTAGAGCGGGGTCCTCAGGATCAAGCAGGAGAGACACTGACTCCGTGGATGAGGATGGGTAAGTTTTGTTGGATGTAAAATTATACAACATTTCCACAATATAACTGCAAAAGAATTCTTTTGCAGTTTAAAAAATCTAAGAGATTTTCATAATATTTTTGTTTTCTTAAGATAGTCTCCATATGGAAGTATTCAAGCCATATATGATATCACTATCTTCTCATCCTTGTGCTGCATGAATGTGAATGAAAGAAATGTAATTTTGAGGAGGTAAACATTCTGAAAGAAACCCAGGACTTCATATAGGTATAATAGCAGTGAGGACCTTGAAGATAACATTAGGTGTTATTTATAACCATTAAGTGCAGGAAGGTCAAGGGAGGACTATGATGATTGTAACGCAACATGGCTAAACATGTGTAAAAGGTGACCACAGTGGCAAGGAGAGCCACAACAAAGCTTCTAATACTTGAAGATTTTAATCACTGGGAAATAGGCAGGTTAACAAAGGATTCTCACAGTGTAAATGTAACATGCAAATCAAGATTTATGACCACTACAGATAAACACATCCTTTGGCAGCATATGGTGGAGCCGACAAGAGCAAGAAGTGGTGATCTACTGACTACCACAGACCTCGTGTTTACCCAAAATGAAGATGATTTAGGGAAATTAAAATATGAGGTGCCACTTAGAGCCAGTAACCATTGCATTATTGTGTTGCCTTGTGGTTACTTTTTATTTTTTTTTTTATTAATACATTTAGGTACATCTGCAGTTGTGCAGCTACCCTAGACTATATGAAAGGGAGTACAGTGTGTCAAAAAGCTAGCTATGTGATGCTAAAAATCCCCATCACACAGGATGGTTAGTCATACAGAGGCTTGTTACCTTGCAATGATTTTGGGGCTCAACATCCCCGCGACCCGGTCCCTGACCAGGCCTCCTAGAGACTGACACTTTGACTTCAATCAAAGTGTAGAACTGAAAGAGTCGGAAACAGGATAAAGAGCTGAGAGGATTCAGAAGAGGGGACTACAGGGGGGGGGGGGTAGAGCTTATTTGCAGGATGTTCAGTGGTAGGCTTAAATGTAAGGAAAGTCACCAAATAATATGATGGAACTGATAACAGAAATGCAAAGTGGCAATGGTAAAGTTCATACACTCTCAGGAGATTAAGTGGATGACAGGAGAACAATGTAATAGTGTAAGGAGTGGACTGTTGACATCTTTCTTCCTTTAGCTTTTCCAGACGTATGGATGCCCAGACATTGACCTCTTCGCATTGGCTTGGTCTTGGCATCATCCTCTTTACACGACACTGTTTCCCGACTGCGAGGCCCTTGTGGTAGATACCTTTTGGCTGGACTGGTTGAGGTTAAGGTTCTTGTACCTCTTTCCCCCTGGTTTGGCTGTTGCTCTGGGTCCTGGCACGATTGAAGTTGTTCATGGGAAGTGTGACCTTTTCGGCTCCTAGATGGCTGGGTCATCCTTGGTTCCAAGCGCTGTTTGCTCAGTGTCCAAACCTTGTTGTTTTTCCGTGGTTCTACCTCGTTCAGAGGGTTGGCCTAGTGATGTACTTCACTGGTTCTACCTTCTGCTCTGCTCTTTGCATCTGGTGTAAGGGCACAAGCTTGGAAGCCGTACCCGAGAGTTCAGACTAACAAAACTTGTCCTTGCTTTCATATAAATAATATATATATATATATATATATATATATATATATATATATATATATATATATATATATATATATATATATATATATATATATATATATATATACAGTGGAACCTCGATTAACGAGCGGCTCTATTAACGAGCATTTCCAGTAACGAGCGAGCCACTCGCAGCAAATTTGTCTCTATTGACGAGCTTCACCTCTATTAACGAGCAAAACCACATGGTGCTTCCTAGCGTCTCGCAGGTTCTCGCAAATTCTTGGACGCCTCTGACGCCAGTGTTGTTGTTGTATCGCACACGACAAGCATTCCTTTGGATTTATTTGCGCTTTTCTTTGTGTTTTTAGTGGTTTTGTGACTACAATTTGTAACACACGATGTCGCCAAAGAAGCTGCTTCCTAAAGATAGTGTTTTCAAGAGGAAGACACAATTACTGTGGATTTGAAGAAGGAAATTATAGCAAAGCATGAGTGTGGTGTCTGTGTGACTGATCTCACAAGGGAGTATGGCAGGTCCTCATCAACAATTTACACCATTAGTAAGGGAATAAGGAGGTAAGGGAGGATGTTGCCTCTTCCACTGAGATCAGGGAAGTGTTGGGAATGTTTGAAAAGGTGAACGCGTTCTTGGAAAAGCTGCTCTGATAAAGCAGTGACAACCCGGTGTGTGAAAATGTTTAATTAATTTATCACTTTGTGATAACACTTTGTGAAAGTGTTATCACTTTCGCAGGTATATGTCGCTTGAACGTGACACACTTTTTTCTCTTGAATGCACCCAAACACCGCGCTCAAGTGTCATTTGAGCAAATATTTCTATAAAATCTAATTCTTATCCGATCGACTTGGGGATAGTATAAACATGTTTGCCATGAAATTTCCGTTTTCTCTAATAGCCACATAGCCTATTTGGGAGAAAGGCATTGTATTGTATCTTCGTGGTAAGACCATTGTGTTGTTGACACGAGTGCAATCGACGTAGTTTTTTATTTGGTGCTGGTCTAACGCATCCTTGTGTGACATTTGAAATGAAATTTGGGTGAAATTCCCAAGAAGAGAGAATCCGCCTGACTCAAAGGTGGATTCTCCTTCCACACCATAACCCCTCTCCTCCTTCCCACCTCCCCATCGTCTCCCTCAAGCCAGCAACTACTCTTCATAAGGTAAACATTAAAACAGTATAACAAAACATTTATAATTACATGTGCAGTATTATATTTACATAAAAAAATGTCATACAAGTATGGATGTTTTTGGGAGTGGAACGGATTAAATTTATTTCCTTTATTTTAAATGGGGAAATTTGTTTCTTAAGACGAGTTTTCCAGATAACGAGCTCGGTGCCACAACGGATTAAACTCGTTAATAGAGGTTCCACTGTATATATATATATATATATATATATATATATATATATATATATATATATATATATATATATATATATATATAATTCTAAAAAGTATTGAAGCCGAAAACAAGTAATCTTATTATAAGTTGGACAATAAATACACCTTGGGGTACAATTTCACATAAGGGTTTTATTGAGATATTGAAAGCTAGCTTTGCAAGGGAAACTCTGGCTTACACTGTTATTGTACAGGATTTCTCAGATGGAAGGCAAACCGGGTCAACTTCGAGATGTGTGGAGTACTGGTCCCACACTAACTTGGACTTAAGGTCATTGTTGTACTTTACTCTTTTGTGGTAAGATACAACTGTAGCATGTACTTTTACAATACAAGGTCCTCACTATTTTACTAATGGGGACCAAGGTTCATCGATTATAGACCACATGTTACAGTAATTTCTTAATTTAAGTGGGTGAATGAACCAAGATAACACAAAGCACCACCTACACACAGGGTTCTATACCAAGATAACACAAAGCACCACCTACACACAGGGTTCTATACCAAGATAACACAAAGCACCACCTACACACAGGGTTCTATACCAAGATAACACAAAGCACCACCTACACACAGGGTTCTATACCAAGATAACACAAAGCACCACCTACACACAGGGTTCTATACCAAGATAACACAAAGCACCACCTACACACAGGGTTCTATACCAAGATAACACAAAGCACCACCTACACACAGGGTTCTATACCAAGATAACACAAAGCACCACCTACACACAGGGTTCTATACCAAGATAACACAAAGCACCACCTACACACAGGGTTCTATACCAAGATAACACAAAGCACCACCTACACACAGGGTTCTATACCAAGATAACACAAAGCACCACCTACACACAGGGTTCTATACCAAGATAACACAAAGCACCACCTACACACAGGGTTCTATACCAAGATAACACAAAGCACCACCTACACACAGGGTTCTATACCAAGATAACACAAAGCACCACCTACACACAGGGTTCTATACCAAGATAACACAAAGCACCACCTACACACAGGGTTCTATACCAAGATAACACAAAGCACCACCTACACACAGGGTTCTATACCAAGATAACACAAAGCACCACCTACACACAGGGTTGTATACCAAGATAACACAAAGCACCACCTACACACAGGGTTCTATACCAAGATAACACAAAGCACCACCTACACACAGGGTTCTATACCAAGATAACACAAAGCACCACCTACACACAGGGTTCTACAACCACACTTATGCTCACAATGCTTATCACTAAACTATTACAGAAAGGAGCACTGCTATAGTAAGTATGAGTTTTTCACAATGCACTTATCATTATTGTAGGTGGTCATCTGGCATCACAGGCAACGACTTGACCCCATCACCACTCAAGACAAAGGGAACAAGAATGCTAGAATGTGTGTGTGTGTACAACCACTCGGTTCCAATAATGTTTCATACACACTTGTATCCCAAAATAGTTCATTTGTATGTCTGATAAAGTTCCAGATTGTTTTTCAATATTTAACACTGTTGTTTTTATATATTTTCCAGCACAGAATGACCTTTTTAAACATGCATTTTCTTAGATTTATCACTGTTGTGGGGAGGACACTTTCCTGCTATGACAATGCTCTGCGCATGTGCAGAATGGGAATTCTAAATTCAAGAGTTAAACATACTGAATATAACACTTCACAAGGGTCTCTCTCTTACACTGGACTTTCTGACGCATGTTTATTGCCATCTATATGGTAATTAGGTAGCTGATTTGATGATGTCCCACCTGTGGTCTTCGTTGAGGCGACACTATGACGTTTCGTGGCATGCGTTCTGTGACTTCCTGTCTCTTGCTATATCTGTCACTGCAATTCTGTGTCTGAGTGGGTGGTTCTATCCTTACTTGCAGAACACTGTCACCTCCTATCATGTGGCACTTGAGGAGCTGCTCCAGCCTGCATTCATGGTCGATACTATCTCGGCCCTGTTTCACAAGTTTTCTCATGCACTGTTTCACCTCCGATCTGCTGACGTGCTGCGTGAGCCTGCTTCATTCATGGTCGATACTATCTCGGCCCTGTTTCACAAGTTTTCTCATGCACTGTTTCACCTCCAATCTGCTGACGTGCTGCGTGAGCCTGCTTGATACCTGGCTCCCATATCTGGATACGTGGCTTTCTTTAATTTGTTCTCATTTCACGGTGTCCCCTTTGGTCCAGGATTGTTTTCTTAAGGCTTTGTTTTGGTTTCTCTTGCCTCTAGTTTTTGCAGGAGTGATCTTCATGCTCTTCTTCAGTGCTGGGGAATTTGTTCATTGGACCCTGAGGGGTGTTTTGCTCATTTGAAGCTGGTTCCTTCTTTTCTGGTGAAGAATGAGTTGGTTGACTTCCAGAGGGGTCCCTTGGTTGTGGTTGCTTGGTGGGTTTGGTCAGGGGTACATCATGTGCTCTGTCCGGTGGTAGCCCTTCGTTGTTATCTTCACGCAACTGGTTCCGATTCTGTGGATGCATTGGGGGTTGATCCGGTTTCCCTGGTTCCCTATTTCACGGCTTGTCTTTTTCAGGTCATCTGCAGGGTTATCAAATCTAGTTAGCCTGTGGGCTACCCTCATGCCCATGATGTTCATAAGTATGCCTGACACTGCTATTTTTGCTAATATGTCATTGGATGATATTTGGGCATGGGGGTTTTGGAGGTGGAGCAGGGTCCTGGCAGCCAAGTATATTGTTAAAATCCCTGGTCCTCAGCAGCCATGCAGCCATGTGTGGCCTTTGGTCGTGTGTCACGACCGATGGTCTCTTCTTGATCCCTGCGGTGTTCCCTCCTCCCGGGTGAGTTCCCGTGTTCTTCCTTCTTTGTAGGGAGTTAGCTTCAGGGAGCCACAAGGGGCTGCTCCCAGAAAATCAGCGTTGCATGTAGTAAAACGCAAATTTCTGGGTGAGCTCTGGAGGGTTCCTGACACCTGCCATACCCCAGGGCATTGGTATAGTTCATCAGCTTTGACCTGAGGTTGGTGTGAGCTGGCTGACCCGGTACGCCTCCCTCCTTGCCACAAACTAGGGAGGATGGTGGGACAAACCATGCAGTGATAGTTTCAAGTAAATTATGTTTCTTTTTTATTGAGAGAGTTCTTTTAGCAGTTTTGAGACTGCTAAAGTCTCAAAGCAGTAGTTTGTTTTGGTTTCCCTATCTTTTTGTAAGTATAAGTTTAAGTATAAGGTGGTAAGTATTATTAAACTTTAAATGTATAGTTTTCATAGGCCATCACTCCCTGTGCCTCTCTGAGGGGACCAGGTTCTGGCTCATAGTCCCCGGTAGACCAATAAGGACTCTGCAACTGATGACACCGGATAGTATAGCACCGATTAGTATATGATAGTTTTAGGAAGAATCTGGCACTCGGACAGAAATTGGCTTTTCATTACATTCAACTCTGTTGTTGTTTTTACAAGTTTCCGTACCTCTCTTGCAGATGTTTGCATGCCAGGTTTCTCTTGGGTTTGCCAGGAAGGTTTCTTGGGAAGTGTCCCTGGTTCTTTTGGTTATGTCTTGGTTTGTCCCAGTTCCCTCATGTTTTTCCGTTGAGCTTCCGACTTGCCTTTTCGACATTCTTCCCTCGGTCATAGGAGGAATATTGTGGTCAAGGAAGAAGCATCAGGTTTCTCAGTTGTTTTCTGCCTAACTTGAAATTTTCTGTGGGGAGCCCCGTCGGCTCTCTGCGGCTATCCGAACTGATATCTGCTATATTAGTTTGGGGTCATCAGTCACAGGAGTCCTTATGCCTACCCGGGATCACGAGCCAGAACCTGGCCTCTCAGAGAGGCGCAGGGAGCAATGGCCTATGAGCACTTTACATTTAAAGTACAGTTTGCCATAATTGCCATTGACCGGGGAAGGACCCAGAAAGATAGGCTAATCAAACCAGACCACTGTCTGGTTAACCTGTGCAATCTACATCCTAAAAGATCAAAATAACTCGCCTAGAAAGAAACCCACCAAGCAACACTTTATGCAACTAGCACTCTCACTCATTAGCTCTATGGGGAAGGGGGAGCTGGCTTACCGGTGCCAGCAACCTACCACTTCAGTTCTTGGAATGATGTGCTGGCAGTCAGATCAGTCACATCTGGCCTCACGTTACTGTTCTGGATTTTAGTTCTGTGTGGCTTTTCCAGCTGTGTGTGTGTGGTGTGATGGCCAGATGTCTTAGTGTACAGGAGCAGCATGCGCCTAGGGTGACCTTCCCTAGGAGCTCCGTGAGTACTGCCCTTGCGTGTCAGGGTTATCTTTCCTGGGGCGTTTGGGAATCACTTCCCATTTGAAGACTTCATCGCTTGATGTTGTCTTCACCATTGGAGTTTGTTGGGGGTGTTGTCTTCACTCCCCACCCAGGGCTTTCCATTTTGCCCTGGGTGGGGAGTGTTATAGGCTGGGTGGGGCGCACTGTGGCTGGCGCAGCTTGCTTTACTTCATTGCAGCGGGTGTCCTATGGTTCTCTCTGACTGCTCATTTGTTTGTTGTGTGTCTTCGGGGGTTTTTGTTTTCATTTTCTTTTCATTCTCTGGCATTCTTACCTTGTTTAGACAGAGGAGGTTCTGGCTCGTAAGCTAGAACTCCATTGAATTGACTGATGCCATAGTCTAATACATACATATCAACCTGGTAAGGTTCAAGGAGAGCCTCCGAGACTCGCCCAGAAAATGGCGTTTCATTGCATTCAACGCTGGTTTTTTGTTTAGTTTCCTGTGATCAGAGACTGCATTTTAACAGTATAAGAAGAAAAAATAATTTTTGCAAAGAATTTATTTTCAGTGCACCACGGGTTTGTCATATTTTACAGCCGCGCAGCACAGTGGTTAAGGTGCTGTTTTTGTTGTTGGCTCTTGCCTTCGGTTGTCAGGTTGGGCAGCCTCGTGATCTTTTCTGGAGATATGAAATCCATTCTTTCAGCCCTTCTTGCCAGTGCTTTGCCTGCTGCCTTCTCTTTTTTTTCTGGAGGAGATGGAGATGTTGGCTTCTGAAGGGGTACCTTGGTGTTTGGTTTTGCTGGGGTAGTATTTTCTGATGTGTCTGGTTGTGGCAATTCGTCACTATGGATACATCTCCCGTTCTGTTTAGGTGAAGACACTGCTTGTTGATCCAGTTTCCTGGGTTCTCCGTTCCATGTTGTGTGTGTCCCAGGTTGTCTGCGGTGTCATTAACGCTATCCAGCCTGCAGTCTACCCTCGGGCCCATGTTTGTAAATTCACAGCTATGGCTGCCATCTTTACTATTATGTCATGAGTTGATTTTCAGATTTGGGGGTTTTTGAGATCTATGAGGGCCTTGTTAACTTGGTACTAGGTCAATATTCCTGGTCTCAGTCAGGCTTATGTTAACCCTGAGCTTGGCTTCCCCAGCCCTGTGTCTCATCTAAGACTTTGTAGCTGTCACCTCTCCTCCTCCTTGTTTAATCCTAGGTTGTCTTCTCCGCAATTAGTTAACTTCAAGGAGCCACCAAGGGACTTTCCCTTCCCTCTCCCCCAGAAAACTAGCATCGAATGTAATAAAACGGCCCTTTTTGGGCAAGGTCCTGTGGCTTCCTGACCTCCCCCCTATCAGGTATGTTGGTTCGTGGTTCATCAGCTTCGGATTGGGTGGATGCCGGCTTGAAGGCGGGATTCCATCTGTTGGCAGTTCTGCATATACAGACTAGTTGGTGCTTCATATCCAATTTTCAGTGAATCCTTTTGTTTTGAGTGATTCTTTTCTTTTGTCTGTTTTGATGCTTTGTTTTCATGAACCACGCAGTTGTCTGTATTGTCTCGTCTACTTTCTTGTTGCTTTCCCAGTAAAGGTGATTGTAACAATCTCCTGCTCTCTATGCCTCTGTGAGGGGAAGAGGACCAGGTTCTGGCTCTGATCTCTGGTAGGTCAACAGGATGCCTATGACTCATTTGACTGAGTAATGGGAAGCTATCTCTGTGACAGCTTCAGGGAGCTACCAGAGCCCACTTGGAATGGAGTGTTTCATTACATTCAATGCTGGTTTTATTTTCATGCTTATTGTGTTATAAAGTCATATGTTTGAATGATGAAGTATTTGCTTTGAATCTTAGGACGAAGACACCAAAACTGAGCCCGCCTCGCAAGCCAGCTTCTAGAGGTTACAGTTCTGTTCGAGCAAGAATTCGTGTTCGTGGAGGAAGACCTGTGATGCAAGGGTTTGCCAATGTTGGTAGTGTATTTGATACAGCCAAAGGAGAAGAACTACATCCACAGATCATAAGAATGGCAAGAAAATCAGGGCAACTAAATCTGTCAAATAGAGGAATGATTGAAGGTAAGAGAATATAATAAAATGCATTGAACTTTTCAGATTGTTGTAATACTGTATATAATCTGGTACCACTATAATCTAGATTACAGCACTGTATATCATTCTGGACCCAATCCGGATTCACAAATAATATGTATGTGTATTTTGGAAAGATTGAATCTAATCCATAAAAAAAAGCAAGTAACAATGGATACTTGGATAACCTTGAGGACACACAGGAAAAGGCATTCTTGCATATCCCCATCTGCCCACCCATAATAACCCCTCTCCCCAAACACAATACCCCCCTTGTGTCAACCAGTAGTCGCCCACTCATATACGCTCTCGTTTGTCATGACAGTATTGTAAAACCTGTTTTGTAATTATCAACTTGAGTTGAATCGTTCATTGGAGCACATATGTTTAATTAATGGAGATGATATAACTTGAAATACCAGTACATGGGATTTGGTTCTAGATTATACCATACTGTATATCATGGGTGGCTAAACCATGACTTGCAAGCCGCATGTGGCTCTTGACCTTTAATATGCGGCTCATGAAAAATTCTAGAGAATTCGAATATTCTAGAAATTTCGACCCAAATCCAGAGCAAGAAACGTGTGGCGATATAAAGAGTTCTAATACCTTGAGAAGGGAGTTCAGTATAAGTGCAGACATTGAACTGTGCAGACCTCGCTGGGACACTTCATATGTAGGTCTTATTTAACCCTTGTGCGGCTCCGGGCATTTGTCACCCACAGGCGCATACCAAAAAAAAAAATATATATATATATATTTTTTCTTCTAAACCTGTTAATTTGTGTTCTCTGATCATGGGAAAAATAATAAAAAAATCGTAAGTGGCATATATTGCCCGCTATAGGGCGGGGAAGTCTGGCAAAAAACAGGCGCTGACTCAGCGTGCGTCCCAGATGGTCTGTTGCTTGCCAGCTGTCAGGCAGAAGTGGCCACAAAGAGATAATTACGTAATTATTTCAATGTCTCTGATTGATTTTTCATAGTTTTTTGCTGTAATATTATTCAATAGTGTGTAGTGTGATATATTTATATAATAAAATGAGTGGATCATCGCTGTACTCAAAAATATGGTGTGCATATTGTTGATTCAATTATTATGTTCATCAAGCAGTGAACAAATACCTTGTCGGTTATTACACTATATACACAGGTTATATATAAGTATCTGCATGTTTTGTTCACCATAACGAACCACTAAGTTGCTATTATGAGTCAAAAAGCAACGAGGAGTGACCGCCACACACCAGCCAGCCACTCGCTGCCATTCACTCCCTCAACACCTCACTCGCCCACATTCTCCTCCCACCATACTGTTTTTGCTTTTATTCACTATATACAAACGTTATATATAAGTATCTACATTCGTATTCACTGTAACGAACCACTAAGTTGGCATGCTCAGTGGCAGTGCCACTGGCTGCTACTTCCTCTGTCCCTCAACTCACCTGACTCACCCATGTTCTCCTCCCACAATACTGTTTTTGCTTTTATTCACTATATACAGATGCTATATATAAGTATCTGCATGTTTTGTTCACCACAACTGTACAACTAAGTTGATATAGTTAGTTCAGGCACTAAGAGACGTCGCTACACACAGTCAGGTGGCGGCTGCTTCCCTCACACATTCGAGGTCAGACGCACTAAAATTTCACCCCAAACAATACTGTTTGTGTTGTTATTACCCTATATACAGACGTTATATATAAGTATCTACATGTTTTGTTCACCATAACTGTTCAACTAAGCCGGTATAATGCCCAAAGAGCATAGTGGCCACCCCTACCAACATGACAAATCATGCAGATGTTGCCACCCCCATCACCAAAATGACTTCTCCCCCACACTCCTTTTGCTGTTATTACACTGTATATACATGTTATATATAAGTATCTACATTCGTGTTCGCCATAACGAAGCACTAAGTTGGTATGCTGAGTGGCAGTGGCAGCCAGTGGCAGCCCGCCACTGGCTGCCACTCCCTCCCTCCCTCACTCACCTCACCTGATTCGCCACCATTCTCCTCCCACCATACTGTTTTTGCTTTTATATACAGACGTTATATATAAGTATCTGCATGTTTTGTTCACCATAGCGAACAACAGTCAGCAGACAATGCTACCTCCCTCCCCACCAAGATTACTCCTCCCACTACAGCCTAATTATCGCAACAATCCTGCTATTATCAGAAACAATTTTGATTTAAAAATGGCGTCTGTTTACAAGAGTCCTGATGAAGGTGAGGTGAACCCCGTGTATCCGTGGGCCATTTAAATCTTTCGCAGTACTCCAATACTGTACATCATATGATGGGATGCGCAATTTATAGCAAGTCACTCAACCCAACATATGATGTGTTGTGCAACATAGGGTTAAAACAGTAACAGGAATCGACAAATTTGACAAACTAGAATTTTTTATAACTACAACTACAAGACCAAGAGAACATGTTTAAACTAATGAAACAAAGCTTCTGAAAAACATTAGAAAGTTTGCTTTTGCAAACAGAAGTAGACGGTTAAGTGAGAAGGTGGTGGAGGCCAAAACCGTTTGTACTTTCAAGGTGTCATATGACTGCTGGGAAGACAGGACAAAACAAGTGTTATCTCTGTTGACCAGACCACACACTAGAATCGACTTGAGAATGGTCCAGGACGGACCGAAACGTCGTCGTCCCTTCAATTTCTAGTGTGTGGTCTGGTCAACATACTTCAGCCACGTTATTGTGACTCATCGCCTGCAAGTGTTATCTCTCATCCTGTAACCACACTTGTGTAATTACACACTTAGGTAATTATAATAAACTCATGCTATTTCAATAAATTTATTTATTTATTTATTTATTTATTTATATATATATACAAGAAGGTACATTGGGATTGTGAGGATACATAGCATTGTAATTACATTCTTGTAAAGTCATTAGTACGCGCAGGGTTTCGGGCAGAAATGCTGCTTAAAGTTAAAGTGTCATAAAGTTATGCCGAGGCCTAAAAGCCTAGTGATAACAGACACCATGAGAGTAGCTTTCATCTTGTAACTACACTTGCATAATTACTCACAGACTGACAGACAAAAATTTGATATATACAGTACTGCATGTTTCAGTACTAAAGTGTCTGCAATACTGCCTATATTGCACACACTTCAACCAATTTAAATAATTGAAGAGTACAGCATGGTGTTCCAAAGATGGCTGTAACATCAGAGATTTGTAATGTACTGATTATAGAAACCCAAGGTACTATAAGGTTACTAAAGTATTTGTGTTTATTTTCAGTGCCTGATAAAGTATATCATATTCATGAGATGGATGGTGAAGAGGCAAAGAAGTTGACAATGAGTATGACGATGGATGGCAGTGATGATGATCGCTGGTGGGAGCAGACCGACCTCACTAAGCTTTATCTCTCATCTAACCGTATTAGCAATATATCTCCAAAGATCAACAATCTCCTCTCTCTCCAAGTTTTAGATGTAAGTACATAGTAAGCAACTTTAATGAACATTTTGGTTGAATAGCCTGAAAAGAATTACTTATTTAAGAGTTAAGGGTTATATGATGAAGTGGTACACTCTTTGAATTCTGACCGGCAATGAGAATCTTGACAAGTAGGAAGAAGTGAAAAATTTCAAAATTGGCAACTTAGCGATGTGCTTGCAGGTGGATGAGGTAAGGGGGCAGAAAGGGGTGCCAGGCACCACCCTCCCTGCCTTCACATGAAACACACACAATTACCTGCTATAGAACCAAAGGTCCTTAACCACTGCACTGCGCCACATTTTAATATGACACCCCCATGGTGCGCCGACAAAAAATTATTTTAAAAAAATTATCCTCTTTTCTTATATTGTTAAAATGCTGTATCTGTCCACGGGAAACTAAACTAAAATATGTTATCTGACATATTTTAGACATGATGGAGCCAAGAAGTTGAGCAATTTATTGAAGCCGAGTGATGCGGTGCTCGGACACACACCACTCCGAGGGGTGGTGGTTGCCACGAATATCATTTTTCACAATTATTTCAATGTTACATTCTTTTCTTCTCTGGTTTTCTGTTTTCTTCTTTTCCCTGAAGCTTTCCAAACTGACATGTGCCATATTAGTTTGATGTCATCAGTCCCTAGAGTTCTAGTGCCTACCGGGGACCACGAGCCGGAACCTGGCCCCACTCAGAGAGGCACAGAGAGCAATGCTCCCTGCATTGCATTGCATATGAATTGCATATTGCATATGCATTGCAGACTATGTCATGTCTGCCATCGACTGGAGTATACCCCCTAGAGAGGTAGGCATAACAATACAAACCTCCAGCTGGTGAAATTTGTAATCTACATCCGAATATAGAAAGGAACACCCCAAAAGAAAACAATAAAACAAGCAAATCGTCCTCCAACTAGCGCGCCACTCGCTAGTGCCCCCCCCCCCCAATACGAGGAAGGGGGAGCCCGCTCAGGTGAGATGGCAGCTCTACCCCTCAGTTTGTTGACTGATGTGCCTTGTGTCAACATGTCTCCTCTGGCCATGCTTTATTGACTGGCTTTTGTGTTTGTGGCTTTGTCAGCTTTGTGTGGTGTGGCAGCCAGGTGTTCTCTGGTACGTTGGGCTGCAACGGTGCCTAGGGCTACCTTCCCTAGGTACCCTGTAAGTACTTCCCTTTCGTGTCAGGGTTATCTTTCCCGGGATGTTTGGGTCTCACTCCCGTTTGAGAGCTTCGTTGCTTGGCTTTGTTCTCGCCCAAGGGGTCTTGGGCCCCCATTCCATGCTCTGTGTCAGAGTTCTCTTTCTCTGTCTACCGCAAACCCATGCATAGTGGTATGTACATTCACTTCTTTTCCTACCATCCTCCTCCTGTTAAGAAAAGTGTCCTCATCTCGCTCTTCCTCCGCTCTCTACGCATCAGTAACCCTCAGTTTCTTGATTCTGAAATTTCCTTTTTTTATAAATCTTTCTCTCGCCTTGGTTACCCTTTACATTGTATCAACTGTGTCTATTCTTAAGCTAAATGGAATTTCTTTCATCCTAAAGCTATTTCCAACACTATTAGCACTGTGCTCTGCCTTCCCTTCATATCTGAACTCAAAACTCTTACTAATACCCTTCGTCCTCTTGACATAAAACTCGCCTTTCGACAAACTAACACTCTTTATGGTAATCTGGTTCACAATTCTCCTGCTTCTAATGCTGCTGAAGTCTACAACTATTTCCTGTTCCTCTTGTCCTCTCCAATACTTTTGGGAAACTTGCTGATTTAAGTCACCTTGTCTTGCCAAAGATTCAGGGTTTTCTTCCTTCCAACCAATCTCTCCCTCCAAGGCCTCTCCTTTTTTTTTTTTTTTTTTTTTTTTTTTTTTTTTTTTTTTTTGAGATATATACAAGAGTTGTTACATTCTTGTAGAGCCACTAGTACGCGTAGCGTTTCGGGCAAGTCCTTAATCCTATGGTCCCTGGAATACGATCCCCTGCCGCGAAGAATCGTTTTTTCATCCAAGTACACATTTTACTGTTGCGTTAAACAGAGGCTACAGTTAAGGAATTGCGCCCAGTAAATCCTCCCCGGCCAGGATACGAACCCATGACATTGACTCAGTGTTCCTGTACTGGGCAGTGGGCATGATCTAACTACTAGGTGGGTTGTTTGCAGAGTTGTTTGTTGCATTGTTTGTTTACTTCCTGTGAACCTTGCAGTTGGGTTTTGCTTTACTTTCTTTTATGTTTTTTTTCAGTGAGGGTGATCATGAATCCCCTGCTCCCTGAGCCTGGCCTGAGTCTGCAGGGGATTCATGATCAGGGTCTGCCGTAGGATTTTATGACTCACAAGGGCTGATGTGACTTGCAGGTGTGGAGTTCTCAGTTCACTTAGCTACAAGGAGCCATTGAGATCCCTTCCTAATGAAATAGGAAGGAGGATCCTTTCTGGAGGCATGTAATGAAATGTCTCCAGAAAAGGCCTTTCATTACATTCAACTCTGGGTTTTTGTGGGGTCTGGTTTTGTTCCCTTTTGTTCCAGTGGACGGTTTTGTTGTCTTGGGTTATCTTTTAGGTCGTTCTATTTGGATATCCTGTGGGTTGGTGCTCTTCAGGTGTTTGCAGGTTTGCTCGCTCTGTTTTCTGTTACTCAGTGCTAAGCTTTTTCTGGGATTCCTGGCTTCTGCCTAAATCATTTCCTAGTGTGTGTGCCATTTGTTTTTGCTCTCTGAGGTGAAATATAAACAAGGAGCCACCATGGCATCCTCCTTAATGGGGTCCAAGGTGGCTCCCTTGATTTTCTCGTCCCCTTCAGGTGCTAAGCTTTGCCTTTATTTTGTATTTTATTTTATTTATATCAATAAGAGTTCTTACATTCTTGTAAAGCCACTAACATGCATAGCATTTCAGGCAGGTCCTTTAATCTTAATTTTCCCTGGAATACGACCCACCAAATCGTTTAACATCCAGGTACCCATTTACTGCTGGATGATCAGAGGTGTACAGTTAAGGATTGGTGCCTAGTCAATCCTCCCCAGCCAGGATATGAACCAAGGGCCTTGGTTCATATCGTGCCCGACACTCTTGCGAAGCGCCAGGCGAGTGTTACCACTGCGCCACTGGGACTGTGAGTCGTGTCATGGGTGAAAGGGTACAGTGGCTGAACAGCTCCTATTGCTACCATCTTGTGAGGAGGTGAAACTTGCAGTGACATGCCACAACTGCTGGACAACTTGTTTTCCATTTTTCTTTCTCCTTATTGTTGTTTTTGTCTTGCTCTCTACTTTCTGGTGGCTGCTCTGTGCCTCTATAAGGGGACTAGGTATTGGCTACTGGTCTTCAGCCCATTATTAATAACTAAGAAGAGCATGGAGTGATATGATAGGTGTGGAGCTACCCGGAGCCGCAAATAACAGGGAGCCATCACGGACTCACCAGAAAAAGGTATATCATTATATTTAAAGCTGTCGTTTTGTTGCACATGACCTCTAATGCTTAGGATATCATTAATCTCAGAAACAGTCAAATAAAGTAATGTATTATTAGATGGATTTGAATAGCATTACATTCTTGCAGGTAATTACAGTATTTCATTAATCTTTTTATAATGTCATGTGTTATATTTCTAGCTTTCAGACAACTGCCTAACAACTCTGCCATCAACATTTGGAGACCTGACGTGCCTTCACCGTCTAAATCTTAGTCACAATCGCCTTGAGGAATTACCAGCAGGTGTATTCCTTCTTTCTGATTTAAGATCTCTTCAGCTCGATCATAATAATCTCAAGATACTCTCGGAGGACTTGGGAAACTTGAATGTTCTAGAATATCTGGTAAAGTACTGATTTTCTTGATTTCTGTGTTTAACTCTTAGCATATTTTATTTATATATTTGTCTTTAGCTATTTGTTTTGGATGCTCGTGAAAGCCTTTACCAGCATATAAAGTGCATCTATCCTTCCGAATTTGGCCAGATTTGTGAGTTTATCCACTAAATTGAATAATCCAGATTTCTCTGGTCTGTTCCCAGTTTAATTGAAAATAAAATGAGAATAATCCTTCCCCCCCCACCTCAAATTCACGTATCTTTCACACCATGTAATAAGCCCACAGAGCAACATTCTACACCAGTGGAACTGATGTTAAGGATAAGCGAGACTGTGCAGAATAAAGTTAGCGTCAGAGTAATGCACTCCAACATAGACAGTGTCACAAGTAAAGCAAGTGAACTTGGGGAAGGAGCACAGGAAGATAACCCAAATGTAATAGTGCTCACTGAAACTAAATTATCAAATGTCATAATGATGGCAATGTTTCTCCAGGACTACACTGTAATAAGGAAATAATTGAAAGGAAGGCTGGGAGGAGGAAAATCTGTCCTGCTAATAAGAAAGAAGGGTTCAGAGACTGCATAACAGGCACCATATCAATAGGAGGGCAAAAGATAGCAGTAATGATATATAACTCTCCAATAAAAAACAGAATACCCAGACAAGGGTATGACAGAAACAACATGACAATTATTAATACAATAAAAGGTGGGCTCGCCAATACATTTAAGTAAAGCCGCCATTGACTAATTGTTGACCTGTGTTGTTTTCCCTGGGGGATGCATCCACCAGGCTTGCTGCACGTTACTACAGAATAGTAGTGACGTGCACTACAGAATACTGCTTGTATTCCCTCTTGGTAAAAAGTAACTCAACAGAACAGACATACAGGTGCAGACACACAAATAAACAGAAAAAATATGCTCACAGACAGACAGACAGACATGCAGGCAGATACAGGCTGGCAGACACACTCAACTATTGCAGTCTAGTTAAAATAATACATCGCTTAGCTATCATTCATGCGTTTCATTCTTTCCTAGCAATATTTTTTTTATCTGGTATCAATGCTTTCCCCAGAGGAGTGTGGTCTTGCATTCTCATTATCGACAGGGAAAGGCATATTCACTATCATCAACTGGTCTTTGCTGCCATCACAAGAGACCAGACCTCACTTCGCTTAACCCTTAAATTGCGCATCGCATCATATGATGCATTGACTGACTTGCAGAAAATTGCGCATCGCATCATATGATGCTTTGGAGTACTACGCAAGATTTAAACGGCCCGCGGATACACGGGGTTCACCACACCTTCATCAGGGCTCTTGTAAACAGACGCCATTTTTTTTTTAAATCGTGGGTCAAATTCCCGGGTGTTAGGGGCCTCAGTATTGAGTGAGCTACCAAGCCTGACGCACGCAGCATGAGCTCACAGCACTGCTGTTCAGCTTGTGACCACAGCATCGCCTAAAAATGCCATAATATACTGTTCATGCTATTATGTAGCGATGATATTATTACAGAAGACCCCTGACTGTGATAAAACTGACCAGGGTTCTGATAATAGTAGGATTGTGGTGATATTTAGCGCTGTGCGCCATGGAGGGAGGAGTAATGCTGTGGGAGGGAGGATGGTGGCGTTGTCTTCTGACTGTGTGTGGCCACCTTTTATTGACTGCACTCACTATATCAGTTTAGTGGTTCGCTATGGTGAATACAAATGTAGATACTTATATGTAACGTGTGTATAGAGGGTATAAACAGCAAGAGGAGTAGGTTGGGAGTCGCCATTTTGGTGAGGGCGGTGGCGTCGTCTGCACGATTTATCAGGTTGTTTACTGGTGACCACGATGGTCTTTGGGCACCATACCAGTTTACTTGTACAAGTATGGTGAATAAAACAGGTAGATATTTATATATAATGTGTGTATATAGCATAATAACACCACAAACAGTATTGTTGGAGGAGAAATATTAGTGCGCCTGGCCTTGAGGGCAGCAGCCAGCTGACTGTGTGAGGTCCTACGTCTTTGTGCCTTTACTCACCATACAAGCTTAGATGTACAGTTATGGTGAACAAAACATGTAAATACTTACATATAACGTCTGTATATAAAAGCAAAAACAGTATGGTGGGTGGAGAACTGTGGCAAGTCAGGTGAGGTCACTCACCTGACTTGACAAGGCGTCAGTCAAGGCGTCATATACATATACAGCACACATAGACGAGATAAAACACCTAAATTATTGGGATCATCTCAAATCTCTTTAAATGTACTCTCTAGAAAGGAGACGAGAGAGATACCAAATAATATATACATAGAAAATACTGGAGGGCCAGGTCCCAAATCTACACAGTAAAATAACAACATACTGGAGTGAACGATATGGAAGAAAATGCAAGATTGAACCAGTGAAGAGCAGAGGTGCCATAGGCACAATCAGAGAACACTGTATGAACATCAGAGGTCCACGGTTGTTCAACGTCCTCCCAGCGACTATAAGAAATATTGCCGGAACAACCGTGGACATCTTCAAGAGAAATCTAGACTGTTTTCTAAAAAGCGTGCCGGACCAACTGGGCTGTGATGGGTATGTGGGCCTGCGGGCCGCTCCAAGCAACAGCCAAACTCTCACAAGTCAAGCCTGGCCCCAGGCTGGGCTTGGGGAGTAGAAGAACTCCCAGAACCCCATCAAGCAGGTACCTCTGACTGAGTCAAGGTGTGGAGTGAAGTAAATGAATCGACCTTGAACATTTCCTGCAAAAACATCCTCACGTCTACGGTCAGCAATGAGGACGATGAAGAAATGAATTTTGGAGGATTTACAGATGAAATCCATGGAATGTTCAGAAATGCTGGCAAAAACTTAGAAAGACAGGATTTGGTTGATTGGCTTGAAAGAGATGCTAATGACCCAGGATATGGTGTGATGAGTGAAGAGCAGATTCTCCAGTCTATTACTGGTGAGGTCGACGAAGAGGAGGAGGAGGATAAAGAAGACAGTGAAGAACCAACACCACAGACAACAAAATACAGTTTACTCATGTCTTCTGTTGACCTGTTAATAAATTTTTCATCCAATTGTGCTCATCCAGAAGTTGGAAACATGTATCAGTACCTGAGGCAAACCAAAGAGCTGATCATACAACTGGCCAGTGAACACAGAAGGCAAGCTAAACTTGATTCTTATATGGTAAGAAAATCAACCAAAGCACCTTCAACCAGTGAGGCGTCACAGGCAAGCCAAGCGCCTTCAACCAGTGAGGCGTCACAGGCAAGCCAAGCACCTTCAACCAGTGAGGCGTCACAGGCAAGCCAAGCATCTTCAACCAGTGAGGCGTCACAAGCAAGCCAAGAGCCTTCAACCAGTGAGGCCTCACAGGCAAGCCAAGTGCCTTCAACCAGTGAAGCATCACAGGCAAGCCAAGCACCTTCAACCAGTGAGGCGTCACAAGCAAGCCAAGTGCCTTCAACCAGTGAAGCGTCACAGGCAAGCCAAGAGCCTTCAACCAGTGAAGCATCACAGGCAAGCCAAGCACCTTCAACCAGTGAAGCATCACAGGCAAGCCAAGCATCTTCAACCAGTGAGGCGTCACAAGCAAGCCAAGTGCCTTCAACCAGTGAAGCGTCACAGGCAAGCCAAGAGCCTTCAACCAGTGAAGCATCACAGGCAAGCCAAGCACCTTCAACCAGTGAAGCATCACAGGCAAGCCAAGAGCCTTCAACCAGTGAGGCGTCACAAGCAAGCCAAGTGCTTTCAACCAGTGAAGCATCACAGGCAAGCCAAGCGCCTTCAACAAGTGAGGCGTCACAAGCAAGCCAAGTGCCTTCAACCAGTGAAGCATCACAGGCAAGCCAAGAGCCTTCAACCAGTGAGGCGTCACAAGCAAGCCAAGTGCCTTCAACCAGTGAGGCCTCACAGGCAAGCCAAGTGCCTTCAACCAGTGAGGCCTCACAGGCAAGCCAAGAGCCTTCAACCAGTGAAGAGTCACAGGCAAGCCAAGTGCTTTTAACCAGTGAAGCATCACAGGCAAGCCAAGCACCTTCAACCAGTGAGGCGTCACAGGCAAGTCAAGCACCTTCAACCAGTGAGGCGTCACAAGCAAGCCAAGAGCCTTCAACAAGTGAGGCGTCACAGGCAAGCCAAGGGCCTTCAACCAGTGAAGCATCACAGGCAAGCCAAGTGCTTTTAACCAGTGAAGCATCACAGGCAAGCCAAGAGCCTTCAACCAGTGAAGCGTCACAGGCAAGCCAAGTGCTTTTAACCAGTGAAGCGTCACAGGCAAGCCAAGAGCCTTCAACCAGTGAGGCTCCAGCATCTGGCAGTCAAAATTAACTTTGCTTGATGTACAGTACTGTAATTTTAAGTGTTAATTTTAGTGTTGTGTTAGTATAGGTTACGTAAATTGTCAAGAATTCTTAACTTCAAGATGTGTGGCATCACTCAAGAAGACGAACAACAACAAGATAAATTGAGGTTTCTAGTTGAATATTTTATAATTATGTATGGCAAGGCAATTCAAATTGCAGCATGTTGTTTGTGGTATAAAAGTAGTTGGAAATGGTCACTTTTGGACTCAGAGGTGAAAAAGTACGTTAATCCAGAAAACATGATAATCCGGCTGGGGGTCCTTCCCATATAGTCCGGATTAGCGAGTGGATACAGTATTGGCGTGCCTTGGCTGTGGTGGCCAGGGATGCGCTTTGGGTTGATCCGGTTTCTCTTCTTCCCTATTCCTGGGCTCGGGTCTTCCAGGTCATCCGCAGGGTTATTAAGTCTAGCCAGCCTGCGGTCTATCCTCGTGCTCACAAAGTGTGTAAGTTTGCTGCTTTGGCTGCCGTCTTTGGCAACATATCTTGGGTTGACATTCGGGCACGGGGCTTTTGGAGGTCGAACAGGGTCCTGGCCGCTCGCTACTTGGTCAATGTTCTTGGACCAAGTAAGGCCTGCATTTCATTGGGTCGGTAGTTGCAGCCAATTGTCTCAACTTTGTGTTGAGGAGTGGGGACTGACCGCCGCCTGGGTACATCCCTGTTTTTCCTTGTCTTTGGGTAGGTAGCTCCGGGGAGCTGATGAGGCTCCCCCCAGAAAACCAGTGTTGAATGTAATAAAACGCCATTTTCTGGATGAGTCCCGGAAACTCCCCAGTGTCCCTCCCTCCCTCCCTCCCTCTGGTCGGTAGTGTTTTCGTGAATTTTGATATCTAGCCTAAGAACTGAAGGGTTGATCGCCGGTACGAGAGTCTGGGGCTTCCCTTTTCCCCCACCCGGGGTGATGGGGGGGTTGCGTAGACAGTGGCACAGCGACATAATGATGTCATGCTCATTTGCTAATTTTAGTTTGGGGAGTTCTGTCCACTTGTTCGGCTTTCGGTAGCAATATTTTCATCCAAATTTGGGGTTTGTTTTGGGGCACCTACTTTTCTGAGTGCCTGACCCAGCCGATGACAGACATAGAATCCTTCCAACCACACGGGGGTTTCTATAGGCCATTGCTTCTCAATGCCTTTCTGAGGGGGCCAGGTTCTTGCTCGTGGTCCCTGGTTGGTACGAACTCCATGCACTTTGACTAATGCCAGATTGCTAATACAGTGGTACCTCGCATAACGAATTTAATCCGTTCCATGTTCGTCATGTGAAACGGACGTCATACAAAACGAGTGTTCCCCATGTAACCAGTGTGATGCACTGTGTTTATTGTGAAATTCCCCCAGTGTGCATGACATCAAATGTTCCCCAAAATATCATTTTTCTTTGCAAAATGATAAATTACCGTCCCTGAACATGTCTATGTAAAAATAATTACCAAATTTCACTTACTTTGGCTGTGAGGGCGTGGACAAGGTGCGCTGTGACGTCATCAGGGCCTGGTCGCCCGTGTGTGAAGCTCCCAGACACGGTCGCGCGGGCCATTCAAGCACCGCGTGTTGCCACAAATATATTTTCAAATATTTTTTCTATGCATTTCCAATGCGGTTTTATTTGTTTCTTTTATCGTATATGATGCATATTTGTGACCTTTACAATATGTATACAGTAGAATGTTCATAATTTTCCATGGAACTGTGATACATGTGTCAGTAATGTGTCCACAATACAGTAAATGTTTATTGTCACAATATTACGTGGTAAAAATTCACTAAAATTACAATATGTACAGTTTCACATACTATTTACACAGTAACACACTGTATTACACACTCAGTACTTTGGAGGTGCGTAATAGTCAACGAAATAGTCCATGGTACACAGCGCGACTTTGCTCTCCTTGCACCAGCTACAGATAGATTTTCGTTTCCTGTTTCATCGTTCTGTGTGCTTGCAAATAACGCACTCGCGTGCACCCTTGGCTTTAGTACTTGTAGGTGGTATGTAGCCAAGCTTGCAAGGCATAAGGTAGTATTGAAACGATTATAGGAAAAGCTCAATTTGTAAGGTAGTCTTGAAAAGATCGCTTTGTAAGGTCCCACACAGGAAGAGATTCAGCTAGCCTCAAAGAGTGTCCATCAGTCAGGAAGAGATTCAGGTATTCTTGAAAATATCAATGAACACCACCACCATGGAAGCGCTAACACTGTTCATCTATGCTACTTGTATCAGATGCATCATCACTGAACGCAGAAAACGATTCATCTATGTATCATCTATATAAATTCGAGATGGCAAGGGTGGGGCTCAGAGCTACAACTGGATACGCTCGCTGTATCATCCTCATACGTGCTGTATCACTGGCATCTGACCGTTGTGTTAAGCCCTTATTGCGCCTAGCTTCACCAATGTTACGACCCTTATGTTCTTCAAACCATAGGGTCTGAATTTCACCGACTGAGCGCAGTCTTTCAACACCGTGTGGGACAGGTGTTTGAGAGCCAGAGGCGCGTGTGCCACAAATGGTTGCTCACGCACTACTAACCCAGCCAGCAGCCCTTGTCTTTCATATTCATTATAGCAAAAGGTTCGTTCAGTGTTTTTTGGGTAGGTTGCTCCATTATGACAATCTTTCTTTGTTTCAAATGTGTTCCATTTGTTTTGTATTTGTCACTTACGTCTCAATAATGGAGCAGCCTACCCGACAAACACTGAATGAACCTTTATGGCATTTGTCCATTTTTCAAATTGTTTCAAGTTCTTTTATTTTTCGTTTTTTTTTTTTATTTAAGAAACATGGAGCAGCCGACCTGTAGACCACCGAACGAACCTTTCTGACATTTGTACTGGTTTTCAAAATTCATTTTTTTTATTATTTACGTTTTTTGTATGTAAGAAACATGGAGCAGCCTACCTGCCGACCACCGAACGAACCTTTTGCTATAAGACAAATGAAAAATAAATATTGAACACATTTGAAGAAAGGAAAATGCCATAATGGTTTATTCAGTGTATGTAAGGTAGGCTGCTCCATTATTGAGATGTAAATGACAAATACAAAACAAATGGAACACATTTCAAACAAAGAAAGATTGTTATAATGGAGCAGCCTACCTGCCGAACACCGAACGAACCTTTTTGACATTTGTTGTATATCAGACATTTCATTTCTTTTTTCCTACAAAAACGTCAATGCTTTGCAACATCTCAGTAGTCACCCTTTTATATCCCAGCATCATTAGCATCTTTAAACAAGAACAACATAATTTATGTGCATCGTCGGAGGCGTCTAAGAATGTGCAAGAAGCAGCGCGACCCCACCATGTGGTGTTGACGTTACTCAAACCAGCGTTCGTCATACGGGACGATTTGATGCCGATCGGGCCGTTCGTTACCCAAAATGTTCGTCTTTTGGGGCGATCGTTATGCGAGGTACCACTGTATATCCATAACAGCCTGGATAGCTCCTGGGAGCCTCACACAGAAAGTGGCGTTTCATTACATTCAACTCTGGTTTTTTTATTTTTGTTTTGTTTTGAGATATATACAAGAGTTGCTACATTCTTGTACAGCCACTAGTACGCGTAGCGTTTCGGGCAAGTCCTTAATCCTATGGTCCCTGGAATACGATCCCCTGCCGCGAAGAATCGTTTTTTCATCCAAGTACACATTTTACTGTTGCGTTAAACAGAGGCTACAGTTAAGGAATTGCGCCCAGTAAATCCTCCCCGGCCAGGATACGAACCCATGACATAGCGCTCGCGGAACGCCAGGCGAGTGTCTTACCACTACACCACGGAGACTGCTAGTTATGTTTTCTTTCCATTGACTTCTGGTAATAATAATGACTGGCTGGTAGTTAAGTACTGCCTAAGATCACCTATCCAAATTATATGGGAAGGACCCCCTGCTAGACAAGCCAGACATTCAAATTAGCAGAATTCTTACAAAGAAAGTCCAAAAATGACAATATTCACATTTTTTTTTGTAGTACAGCCACCATAATTTTTATTTTAACACACTATAAATCAAAAATATATTTTAAGACACTTCTGCTTGTGTTGTTGTTGTTTGACCTCTTATGTGTTACTGTAGACCTTTAAATGTGTAATTCTTGAGAATTGATGTAACCTAATCTCCATTAATCTGAATTTGTTCAGATATGGGGAAGTTTGGCAGAAAATTTGTTGAATTAGACTTTGGCCAGATATCCCAAATATTTTGATTTAGTGGACTTTGGATAACCGAGCTCATACAATATTAAAAAGAAATTGCTAGCAATATATTTAATTTAATTTTTGTTTTCTCTACTTTGATGTACATCATTTTATATTTAATGATTAAGAAGAGTTTTTATTTCCTTTGAACTACTTCTAAATACTCTGACTTTACAGTAAAAGGGTTTTGTTTTAAATATCATATTCCTATGATACCTTACTTTCTCATACAGTACTGAAGTTTAACTTCATGTTTGTTTCTTTCAGGATGTTTCGCACAACTCCTTAACAGAACTTCCGTTGAGCATTGGTTACTTGCAGAGACTCACCAAATTCAATGCTTCTGAGAATCAGTTAAAAGAACTTCCACCTGAGATTGGAGATTGTTTTGGTAAGTTTGTGTTAATGTAATTTTCTGTAAATAGAAAGCTTGTTACTGATTGTAAAGAATATATGTACTGTACATATCTAGGATGGCCTTATGGCAGGACCACTATGGCATGGCCTTAGATGCCATGGAAGACAAGCAAAACGCTTACATAATTTACACAGATTTCACAAAAGCCTTGGATAAATTTGACCATGGTGTTATTGCACACAAAAATGCGTTCAAAAGGAATCACTGGAAAAATAGGCAGATGGATCTACAATTTTCTGACTAACAGAACTCAGTATGTAATAGTCTTCTAAGTAAAATCTTGACCATCAATAGTGAAGAGCTCAGTCCCTCAGGGTACTGTGTGCTTGCTCCAGTAATTTTTCTCATCCTCATATTGGACAGAGACAAGGACACAAACTGTAGTACTGTATCATTCTTTGGAGATGTCACTAGGATTTTTATGAGAATAGACAACATAGAGGACACAGCAAACCTCCAATCAGATGTAAATCAGGTCTTTAATGGGCTACACAAAATAATATGGTATTTAATGAAGATATGTTCCAGCTCCTGCGCTAGGGAAAAAATAAAAAAAATAAAAACGTAAACCACGTTCAAAATGCAGTCAAATCATAATAAAACGAAAAAGCAATGTAAAGGATCTGGGTGTACTCGATGTCGGAAAACCTTACCTTTAGAGAACACAAAAAAGTAGCCGTCACAACTGCAAGAAAAATGACAGGTTGGATAACAAAAACTTTTCAAACTAGAGATGCTATACCAATGATGATACTTTTCAAGATGCTAGTGCTTTCTAGAGTGGCATACTGCTACACAATGACAGCCCCTTTCAAAGCTGGAGAAATTGCTGACCTGGAGAGCGTGCAGAGATCCTTTACTGCTAGAATCCACTTGGTTAAACATCTAAACTATTGGGACTGACTAAAATGAGTAAATCTGTATTCTCTACAATGCAGGCAGGAGAGATACATAATAATTTACACATGGAAAATATTAGAGGGGCTGGTCTCAAACCTGGCCACAGAAATAACATCACATGGGACCAGAAGTTATGGCAGGATGTGCAGAATAGGCCCCCGTTAAAGAGCAGAGGAGCAATATGTACTCTGAGAGAGAACTCTATCAACATCAAAGGCATGAGAATGTTCATTATGCTTCCACTACAAGTAAGGGGCATAACTAGCCGACAGTATTCAAGAGAGAGAGAACTTGATAAACACCTCCAAAGGATACCTGATCAGCCAGGCTGTGACTCATACGTCAGGCTGCGAGCAGCCGCGTCCAACATCCTGGTTGACCAGTCCAACATCCTGGTTGACCAGTCCAACAACCAGTCGGCCTGGTCGGGGACCGGGCCACGGAGAATTGAGCACCAAAATCATCGCAAGGTAACTGCAAGGTAAGGATTATAAATCATTATTACTTAGTTTACTTTTCTGAGGAGAGCCCCGTCGGCTCCCCGGAGCTATCGAACTGGTATTAGCTATATTAGTCTGGGGCTTCAGTCTTATGGAGGCCTCATGCCTACCGGGAACCATGAGCCAGAACCTGGTTCCCTCCGAGAGGTGCAGGAAGCAATGTTCTATGAAAACTTCACTCTTTGAAAATATATTCATGTCTGCTATCGACCTGGGCTAGGCACCCAGAAAAGTAGGCACCCCAAAACAGACCCCCAACTGATAGAAAATTTGCAACCCAAGACCTAACAGAGCCCAAGAACTCCCCACAAGAAAAGCAAGGTAAAAAGAAAATCATCATCAACCTGATGCGCCACACATTCGCCCCCCCCCCCCTCCCCCTCCTCTCCCAAGCCGGCCGCTAGATTGCCAGTTCGTTGACTGAAGCCGGCTGGGGCTGACGTCTACTCTGGCAGTCATATCCTGTCAGGATTTTGCCACTAGTGGTTGTACCTGCCATAAGTTGGGGCATTGGCCAGCAGTACTAGTACTTCCTTAGGTGCCCTACAAGTACATTCCTTGGGTCTCAGGGTTATCTTCTCTGGGGCTTTCGGGTTCTCACCCTCGTAGGGGTTGCTGTCGCTTGACATGTCTCTGGGCTCCTGAGAGTTCACATTGTTTGGATTTCTGTCCTTCTGGCCACCACCCCTGCTGTGTGGAGTGCTTCTGTGGCCCCCTTAGTGATAGGCTAGGGTTGCTGCTTGTCTGTTTTGTTGTGATTTTTATGTTTTCTCATCTTAATTTGACAGTTTTCTCATCTTAATTCTCATACTACGTCATTCGTTTTGGTATCATTGTGTTCACAATTAAATTCCCTATAGGTGTATATGCATATAATGTCCAAAAGCCTGGCGAGACTCCCCACAGCAAAGCCTAAGGTTACCCATGAACGAGCACTGATTTGCACACAACCTAATGTGTATACTCGTTCAGTTTGATAACATAAATTTTCATGTTATGTCGCTTGTTTTGGTATCAAATTGTTCGCAATAAAAGGGAGCGTATTTTAAAACTAGTCCTATAATAATAGAGCAATAACTGGAATTTTAATAAATATTTTAATTTTGGACGCTCATCATTACAAAATTATTTATATCTTTTCAGTGTTCTGACATAAATTTTTGTGTTACATCTTTCATTTTGGTATCAAATTGCTCGCAATCTAAAGGCGCACATTTTAAAACTAGTCCGATAATAATAGCACAATAAATAGAATTTTAACAAATATCTTAAAATTTTGACTGAAAACGTATTTATAATCTTTGAAGTGTTGTGACCTCACGTTTCGTGTTACATCTTTCATTTTGGTATCAAATTGTGCACACTCTATAGGCGCTCATTTTGAAACTATCCCAAAGTCAATGGGATAAAAAATGAATTTGATACAAATATTTTTGTATTGGAGGCGAGCACAGTCCACGGCTAGGACTCAAGAGAAAAAAATAGGACGCGAGCGGTGTCCAACGAGACCAATGGTGTTAAATACATTAAGCATTACTAGGAACAATATACTCATATAATTATTCTTCCTGCTCTGAAAATAATATCCAGTCAGTGACACGCACAGCTGGTACACCTGACACACAACTCATTCATGTCAAATACCCGCCCAGCACAAGTGACCATACTGGTACACCACTCCACTAACCAACTCTCATGCAGTAATTACGTATGTGTAATTACCTAAGTGTTATCTTGAGATGATTTCGGGGCTTTAGTGTCCCTGCGGCCCGGTCCTCGACCAGGCCTCCACCCCCAGGAAGCAGATCGTGACAGCTGACTAACACCCAGGTACCTATTTTACTGCTAGGTAACAGGAGCATAGGGTGAAAGAAACTTTGCCCATTGTTTCTCGCCGGCACCCGGGATGGAACCCGGGACCACAGGATCACAAGTCCAGCATGCTGTCCGCTTGGCCGACCAGCTCCCCAGTAGGGCTGTGTAGTTACAGGATGAGAGCTACGCTCGTGGTGTCCCGTCTTCCCAGCACTCTGTTATATAACGCTTTGAAATTACTGACAGTCTTGGCCTCCACCACCTTCTCACCTAACTTATTCCAACCGTCTACCACTCTGTTTACAAAAGGGAATATTCTTATATTTCTCCGGCAGCTTTGTTTCGTTAGTTTAAATCTATGACCTCTTGTTCTTGAAGTTCCGGGTCTCAGGAATTCTTCCCTATCAATTTTATCGATTCCTGTTATTATTTTGTACGTAGTGATCATATCGCCTCTTTTTCTTCTATCTTCTAGTTTTTGCATATTTAATGCCTCTAACCTCTCCTCGTAGCTCTTGCCCTTCAGTTCTGGGAGCCACTTAGTGGCATGTCTTTGCATCTTTTCCAGTTTGTTGATGTGCTTCTTAAGATATGGGCACCATACAACCGCTGCATATTTCCAGCTTTGGTCTAATAAAAGTCATGAACACTTTCTTTAGTATTTCGCCATCCATGTATTTAAAAGCAATTCTGAGGTTAGAAAGTGTAGCATAGGCTCCTCGCACAATGTTCTTAATGTGGTCCTCAGGTGACAGTTTTCTATCTAGAATCATCCCTAGATCCCTTTCTTTGTCAGAATTCTTTAAAGATTTCTCACATAATTTATAGGTTGTGTGGTGTCTATGTTCTCCTATTCCACATTCCATAACATGGCAGTTATTCACTTTAAATTCCATTTGCCAAATGGTGCTCCATATGCTTATTTTGTCCAGGTCTTCTTGAAGGGCATGACAATCATCTAGGTTTCTTATCTTCCCTATTATCTTAGCATCATCAGCAAACATGTTCATATAATTCTGTTTTCCCATCTGGTAGATCATTTATGTAGACAATGAACATTCTCGGTGCAAAAACTGAAGCCTGTGGTAAGCCATTTGACATTTCTCCAGTCTGATACATTGCCTCTGATTACAGCCCTCATTTTTCTATCAGGAAATTTTTCATCCATGTTAGAAGCTTACCTGTCACCTCTCCAATATGTTCCAGTTTCCAGAACAACCTCTTATGTGGAACTCTGTCAAAAGCCTGTTTTAGGTTTAGATAGATGCAGTCAACCCAACCATCTCTTTCCTGTAATATCTCTGTTGCTCGATCATAGAAACTGAGTAAATTCGTTACACAGGATCTTCCAGATTGAAAACCATACTGTCTGTCTGATATTATATCATTTCTCTCCAGGTGTTATACCTCATTTAGTTTTAAATATTTTTTCCGATATTTTGACTATTACACTTGTCAATGATACCGGTCTGTAATTGAGAGGGTCTTTTCTGTTGCCACTTTTGTAGATTGGAACTATGTTAGCCTTTTTCCACACATCAGCTACAACTCCTTTACACAGGAATGCCTGAAAAATCAGTTGAAGTGGAATGTTGAGCTCAGGTGCATATTCTCTCAGAACCCATGGTGAAACTCTATCTGGACCAACTGCTTTGTTCTTACTTAGCTCCTTGAGCATTTTTTCACTTCGTCTCTAGACACCTCTATGTGCTCTATGTTGTTCTCTGGAATTCTTATTTTGTCTGATTCCCTGAAGATTTTATTTTGTACAAACACACTTTGGAATGTTTCGTTTAATGTTTCACACATTTCATTTTCATTTTCCGTGAATCTATTTCCCATTTTTAACCTCTGAATATTATCTTTTACCTGCAATTTGTTTATGAATTTATAGAATAGACCTGGTTCTGTTTTACATTTGTCCGCAATCCCTTTTTCAAAATTTCTTTCTGCCTCTCTCCTCACTGCCGTGTAGTTGTTTCTCGCATCTTTGTATCGCTGGTATGTTTGTGGGTTTGGCCTCTTCCTGTATTGATTCCATTTTTGTGTCTTTTGGTCTCTGGCTCTCTCGCACTTTCTGTTGAACCAATCTTGTTTCCAAGTTCTGCATCTCTGTTTTGGTATAAATTTTGTTTGTGCCTTTATCATATATTTCACAAAACTTGACATACATCTCATTTACTTCATGTCCTAACAGCAAGTCTTTCCAGTCAAATTCCTTAAAGAAATGTCTGAGTTCCCCATAATGACCTTCCATGAAATCAGGCTTTTCAACTGCTTCAACCTCTTTTTCTTCCAGATTATAACGCATTGCATACTTTATTTCCAAAAAGACATGGTCACTTTTACCCAAGAGAGGGAGGTACTGAATGTTAAATATCTCTTCCTCTTTCCTGGTATATATCAAATCCAGCATGGAGGGAACATCCCCTTCCCTCATCTTTGTAGCTTGTTTAACATGTTGAAACATGAATGTTTCCAGGATGAAGTTTATGAATCTACAGGTCCAAAAATCCTCCGTTTAGCTTCATTTGCATCCCAGTCTATGGATTTCAAGTTGAAGTCACAGACTACCAACAGTCGTGATGTATCTTCATCAGATCTCGCTATAATTCCTCTCATTATTGTTATAAGACCCCTCTCGTTTATTATCTAGCTCCTCCATGTGTTGCCTGGCGGTGGACTATTTGCATTTATGATTGTTAGTTTATCATCCTGATTGCATATCTCTAGTGCTATTATGTCAACGTTTCGTGGATTGGCAATTATTATTTTGTTTATCTTTAGGTGCTCTTTCACCAGCACAGTAACGCCACCGCCTTTCCTAATTGTTCTGTCTCGTCTCCAAACCGAGTAGCCTCTTGGGAATATGACCTCATTTAAAATATAATTTTCAAGGTTTGTCTCCGTGAGTGCAACAACGTCTGGTGTTGGTGTCTGCAGCTGTATTACATCACTTAACTCCAGTATCTTTGATCTCACTCCATCTATGTTGGTGTATGCAATTTTCAGGAACTTGTTCCCTGTCTCCGTATTTTTCACTCCCCCTCTCTCTAATGATTTTGTTGGTTTGCCTTTATGTACCACTTTACTGGTCTGCCTACCCCTATCACTTTGTAGAATTTTTTTTTTATTTCTTCTTCATTCCTGCTCTCATTTAAATGTTTTGCCTCGGTGAGGTTCAGTTTCAGCTTCTCTCTTTCTTCTTTTGAAAGATCTCATCTTAACGACCATACTTTCCCTACCTCATCACTTTGTAATTTTCTATCATTTTTTAGTACTACTTCCATCTGTTTGGCACCGTTCAGGGTGATCCTGAAAGGTTGATCTTTTTCTTTTACGTACTTTCCAATCCTCCTGTAGTCACAGACATTCTCGATGGTAGTAAGACCTTCCACGAGGCCAACAATTTTATCTACTATTTTCTCTTCTTCTACAGCTCTTTCTGACCTATATGTTATCTCCTTTTCTTTGCAACCCAAAATTATCAGAGACTTATTTCGATCAACCGTGTTTTGCACCAACTTCGGGTTTGATGCCAATTCCTTTCTGACTTCCAGCCTAATGTTTGTATTATCCTGGTTGCTGCAGTGTTTGGCTTCCTTTACTGCTTCTATTTTTTCCTTCTCCTTGGCCACTTGTGCATAGGTGAGTTGCATATCTTTCTTGCACTGTTCTATTCCCTGTGTAACTTCATCCATCTGTACTGACAAAAGCTGTTTTTCCTCTTGAATTTCCTTACCTAACCTATCGTAGTCATTTATGTTTAAATTTGCTTTAACTTCTTTCAAAGCTATTTTTAGAAGTTTATTTTCCTTTTCCATGGCTTTGTAATTTGTTTCCAACTGACTCTTGTCCTTGCATAAGTCTTTCACTAAACCCTCAAGTGTAAAACCCTCAGTGTAATACAACCCATACATTCAAATACAACAGTATAATATAGCATAACTGCAATACAATAAAATAAAATGAGAATATCATAACATAGCACTGAGAAACGAGTCCAGGAATACGGACAACTGCAATACATAATTAAATGAGGTGTGATGATATGTATAACATTTATACATTGTATTGTTAGAAACCAGGTAAATACCTGGGGTCACAACAGTGGCATAAATGAATAACTTAATATATAACTGGCATGGCTCCCTGCACCTCTGTGAGGGAATCAGGTTCTCACTCTGGGTCCCAAGTAGGCCAGAGAACTCCACCACTGATGGCACCTATATTGGAGATGGTTACTCGCCCGGCAATTGATGTCTCGTTACGCCCAACGCTGTTTAACTCTGTATTAATTATAACACATTATACTCATTCTATGCCAAAATAATCAATGCACCTATGTACTCATTTCATAAGTTTATTAGTCTGCACAGAGTTGATGACCTGGCAGTACCTCTCTTGATTTACTTCAATCTAAACATATCTAGTCAGTAGTAATAATTTATATGCACTGTATATAGATGGGAACAGGTTTGTAGTAGCACTATAGTATGTAATGGATTTTTCTTCCAGCTCTGAGTCAACTTGATTTGAACCATAATCAACTAGTGGCCCTTCCTTCTTCCATTGGAAACTTAAGAAAGTTGGAGCAACTTTACCTTCGGCACAATAGCATTCAAGTTTTACCTCCATTGCACAGCTGTGCTTCCTTGAAGGAATTGCACTTAGGAAATAATTTTATCAAGGTAAGATAAAAGATTTTTCCTTATTCTGGAATCCCATTAATGTTATCCAGTTCTGAATACTGTTTCCAAGGTTTTGAGAATACAGTTCTGATTGTTATTGTATAAAGTAATGGTATTAACCCTTAAACTGCACATGATGTATATATACGCCATGAGTAACATGTCCTAAACTGAGCATTGTATGCTCAGTTTAGGTTGGTTGCTACCCCGGAGGCCCTGATACTGCATTGCCCCATTTTGGTTATAGGGACCTGGACTTGGGGGTATTAGTCTCTTCGACTTTGGTTCTGTCCGCGCACCCTTGTCCTTTCCCTTCTGTTGTTCGTCCTGGTCCTTATCCCCCTCCCCCCCCTGCATCCAGTTCCAAAGCGTCTGAGGCTTCAGAGTCGGGGCAGGATTTAGTTGTTTTTGAGTTTTGGGCAGTTTTGGAGGATACCCGTTCCAGTGTGGCGAAGGAGCATGTTCCTCCAGCCGGAGCTTCTGGGCTTGACCAGTGGGCCCCCATCATTCCTGCTTTTTTGGCTACTCCTGCATTTTCTTTTAAGGCATGGGACTTGGAGGACAGCTTGGACTCAGGTCCTCCTGGGAAGGTTCCTGGGGCGGGTAAGGGGTTGACTTTGGGGCCACGAGCCCCCATTGGACCCTGCTTGGGTTTTTGTACCTTCCAAGCAGGGCTTGATGTTACCGGGAGTGGGGTTTTCATTTCCCCCCTCCCCGTACGAGTTGTCTTTGGTGTCAATCCCTCAGCAGGTTTGGTTCCATGCTCCTTTGGGTTTTTCAGTCCCTTCCTTCCAGAGGTTTTTGGCCTCCCACATCCCGCCTCATGTGGTGTGGGAGGCCATTTCGGCTTACCTCCTGTGTGACCCAGATTATGCCTCCATAATGGCTGCTCCTTCTTTCGTGATTGGATCTTCTTTTCCATACTAGGTTTGTTATGAGGTTCCAGAGTCATCCTGGCTAGTGTTCTGCCCCTTTTTCTTGTTGGAGGCGTGGCATACGTTCTGTCGATTCCGCATGGTTGAGTGGCGCAATTCTCATACAGTGATCCAGGTTTTCCTGGGGTAGCGCATTTGAGCACCTCAATACGTGCTTATTCACCCCTGCCCTTCCTTGAGATGTTGTCATTGTGCAGCTTCATGTGTAGGTTCCCACCTTCTCGGCTGCCTTGGTTGCTGAGGACTTGCGCACCCGTGGCCTTTTGGCGTCAGTCTTGCAGTTCTTTTCCCTTCTACAGCTGTCCTGGAACTGGCTTGAGGAGGATGTGGAGGCTGTTTTTTGCTTCCCGTTTCGCATGTCGGCAAGTGGTGCTGGCTACCTCCGTGGAATCCTCTTGGGCCCTGGCTCTCGGGTTTTCTTCACCTTTTTGTCCTTTGCTGTTTGCAGAGTCTGCAGTGTTGCAGTATCTGCAGGCAGCTTCTTCCAGTTGTCGTCCCATGTCAGCTTGTTGGGTCTCCTGCTCATGCGCTGCCTGATCTGTCCTGGTTGTTGGACCTGGGGCTCTCCTTTCTCCCTCTTCCTCGGTTTGTGGTGGCCCCTTCGGTTCAGGATTGTTTTTCCATGGCTCTTTTTTCCTGTTGGCATTAGCCTCTGGGGTCAGGTTGGGGAGCTTCTTGCTCTTCTCCGGCACAGGGGTTTCTGCTCTTTTAGTCTTGGTGGTAGATTTGTTCGTTTACAGTCGTCTCCTTCATTTCTGGTGAAGAATGAGATGCAGGTGCATCATGTGCATCACGTGTTGTATCCAGTTGCGACTCTCCACAGTTACCTGCGCACCAGGGCCTCGGTGACCGGGGAGGCGCTTTGGGTTGACCCGATTTCCCTTCTTCCCTGTTCCAGGGTTCGGGTCTTCCAGGTTGTCCAGGGTTATTCGGTCTGGCCAGCCTGCAGTCTATCCTCGTGCCCGCAACATTCGTGAGTTTGCTGAGCTTGCTGCTGTCTTCAGTAACATGTCTTGGGTTGACATTCGGTCACAGGGTTTTTGGAGGTCAAACAGGGTTGTGGCCGCTCGCTAACTTGTCAGTGTTTGTGGGCCTAGTCGGGCCTGTGTCACGTTGGGTCGGCGGTTGCAGCCAGTTGTCTCGACTTCGCACTGAGGAGTGAGGGCCGACCGCCTCCCGGGTAAGTCCCTCTCGTTCTGTCTTTGGATAAACAGCTCCGGGGAGCCGAAGGGGGCTCTACCTAGAAAACCAGCTTTGAATGTAATGAAACGGCAGTTTCTGGGTGAGACCCAAAGGCTCCCCGGCATCCCTCCCTCGCTCCAGTTGGCGTTTTTTTCGTGGTTTTTGACATACATGCTCAGAACTGCAGGGTGGATAGCTGGCGCAGAGTTCTGGGGATCCCCCTTCCCCGGGGGGGGGGGGGGGTTCACAGACAGGGGACGTGGTGACATCATGCTCGTTTGCTCGTTTTCATTTGGGGGAGTTCTGTCCACTAGTTCGGTTTTCAGTAGCAATATTTTAACCAGAATAGGGATTTGTTTTGTGATTACCTTTCTGGGTGCCTGACCCGGTTGATGGGAGACATAGAATGCTTCCAGCCACACGGGGGTCTCTATAGGCCATTGCATTTCGGGTTCTCTGAGGGGGCCAGGTTCTTGCTTGTGGTCCCCGGTAGGCTTGGAACTCCATGTGCTTTGACTGATGCCAGGGTCTAATACATTCATATCAGCCCTGTTAGCTATGGGAGCCTCCAGGTCTCTCCCAGAAACTGTCGTTTCATTACATTCATCTCTGGGTTTTTTCGCGCCTCTGCGTTTTTCTCCAGGTCGGGCCGGTGAGGTACCTCACTGGTTGAACTTTCTTCTCCATGATACATGTCTGGTCTTCCTGATGTGTGTGTATCACTATTTGTATTGTAATCATATGGGGTTCTTTGATGGTGTCCCACCTGCGGTCATCTTCTCAGTGACAGTATGAGGTTTCCTGGCTTTTTTCCATTTTCTTTCTCTTCATCTGGTTTCATCAGGTTCAGACAAGGTTTTTTTGTCCTTTCTCTCTTGGCTTTTCCTGCATCGGCATCTCATGCCTAATACTGCCACGAGGTTCTGGCTCATGGTCACCAGTAGGTATAAGGACTCCTGTGACTGATGACCCCAAACTATTATAGCACATATAACTTTGGATAGCTTCAGGAAGCCTCCGGGGCTCACCCAGAAAATGGCGTTTCATTTCATTCAACGCTGGTTTTCTGTGGGGAGCCCCTACGGCTCCCTGGAGCTTATCGGGCTAATGTGTGTTATGTTAGACCGGGACATTAGCTAAGGAGTTCAGACCTACCAGGGACCAGTGCCAGAACCTGGCCCCTTCAGAGAGGTTTCAGGGAGCAATGGCCCTGGAAAACCCCATATGGTTGGGGGTTTTCCTTATCTGCCATCGACCGGGGTTAGGCACCCAGAAAGGTAGGCGTAACAAAACAAACCCCACATGGTAAGACACTACAACAAAAACCGAACAGAGAGGTAGAAAACTCCCTACAATCCCAAGGAAACAAGCAAACAAGCAAACATCACACTTTACTGCCGCGCCGATCGTCCGCGCAGCCCTCCCCACCCCGGGAGGGGGAGGGGGGAGCCCCGGACCTACCGCGCCGGCTGCCAAGCTCCAGTTCGTTCGCTAATGTCAACCGGGATTGACGCTTCTCTGGCCTCAGTTTCCTAGGCGGTGTTTGCCTTGTGTGGCGTTCACTGCCGTGTGTTGTGGTGTGCGGTGGCCAGGAGTACTTCATCAGTGCTGGGGCTGCATGTGCTTAGTGGCTGACTTCCCTAAGCGCCCTGTGAGTACTGCCCTTGCGTTACAGGGTTATCTTCCCTGGGGCGTTCGGGAACCATTCCCGTAGAGGTTCTTGCTGCTCGGCATTTGCCTCGCCCTTGGGGCCAGCTGGGGCTTGGGGCCCTTGTTTGGCCCTGGGTAGGGATTGGTATTGTGCTGGTTAGGGCGTCAAGGTGTTGCGCAGCCTGCCACCTAAGCGGCGGCCGGTTTCTGTTGCCTCTGGAGACGGTGTACTTTTGCGGGGTTTTTCTTTTGTTTTTCATTTTCTTGCCTGGTGGGGGTCTGCCTAAGGTGGTTATAGTTCCACTGGTAGTGTTTGGCGGCCCTCTGCTAGGCCCCCGTGCTTGTACACGTCTCGGGGGTTTTCAGTGCTATAATCTACCCTCTTGTTATGTTTGGGTTTCTTAACCGGTTAGCAACACCTTGCCCGGGCTTCCCGTAGTTGTTACCCTACGGGCCCTGGAAACCCCTGTCTGGGCTCGGGGGACCATTGAATGTGTCTTCCGGGTTCCAACCCGTCTTGTACGGGATCGTTGGTTGCTGTTCCCTTGTCTCTGGGTAACAGTCGCCATTTTTACCTCCGTCATGCTGCCTGTTGGGTCACTGACACCTTGACCCGGAGTCTTGCGAGTGATTCTCTGCTTGTTCTCCAGTACTCTCCTGATGTTATTACTGTTCAGAGTACAGGCGGCATCCGTGTTGCAAGCTAGGTTAGGTTGCTGCAACATGCTAGGTTGGTTTCCCACTCGAATGCCCCGTGGCCGCCCCGTTTGGTTAGGTGCTGCTCGCCCCTTTCTCTCCATGTTCCCGGCTCCGGACCGTCTGCGTGTTTCTGGGTCGGGGCGGGGTTCAGTTGCGGCAGAGACTCGGGCGGTTTTCGGGGGATGCCCCGTTCGGGTTGGGGACGGAGGTTTGAGCCTGTGCCTCCTGCCAAGGCTTCTGGGTCTTACCAGCGGCCCTTTCTTGTTGCCTTTCCCATGGGCTCTTGCTTTTCTTTCAGGGCGGAGGGCTTGGAGGACGGCTCTGCCCCGGGGCCTCTGTTGTTGGTTCCCGGGGCTGTGGGGGATGCCTACTAGCAGTTCTGGGGCGGTTTTGCCCCTTCAGGGGTTTTTCTGCTGTTGGGCGTCGTTTTTCGCCCTTCCAGTCTGCTAGCTTCCCACATTTGCTGGCGTGTTTTTGTGTATTAAGCGTCAGTCACAGCCCCTGCTGGCGGCCATTTTCGTCTGCCGGTTTCCC